TTGGTTTCAGCTTGAGTCATGATCTCACGGTCCATAGGTTCAAGTCCTGTATCGGGCTCTGCCCTGAGTGTGCAGAGCCTGCTCAGGATTCTCTCTCTTTCTCTCTCTGTCCCTCCCCCAATTGAGTGCATGCACACACTCTCTCTCTCTCTCAAAATAAATAAAATAAAACTTAAAAAAAAAAAAGTACGAGATACCACTATAAACTTATCAGCAAAGTCACTGTTAAAAGGACCGACGATGCCAAATGTTAGCAAGGATATAAACAAACTTGAACTCTCATACACAGCTGGTTGCATTGCCAACTGGTATGTCCAAAAAAACTGGCAACTTGCTTTTTTACTATCTAGTAAATTTGAACATATGCACTTCTAGGTATTTATATGACACAAATATCTATAGCTAACACACACACACATACACACACACACATATATATATTTATCAATAGATATGTTCAAGAGTATTTGTAGCCAAAAACAATAAACAACTAAAATATCTATGGGGGCGCCAGGGTGGCTCAGTTGGTTAAGTGTCCCACTTCAGTTCAGGTCACGATCTCAGTCTGTGGATTCGAGCCTGGCATCAGGCTCTGCTGACAGCTCAGAGCCTAGAGACTGCTTTGGATTCTCCTTCTCTCTCTTCCCCCCGTCCCCCCGCCCCCCTGCTCGCACTCTGTCTCTCTCAAAAATAAACATTAAAAAATTTTAAAATATCTTATAAAGTGTAGAAGAGAAAAATGAAATACAGTAAATTCACATTGTAGAATAGCGTATAGCAATAAAAATGAACAAACTCCTGCTACACAAACCTGAGTGAATACCAAAAGAAGCCAGATAAAAAGATACATGTTACATGATTCCATTTAAATAAAGTTTTAAAACAAGCAGAACTAATGTGCAGTGTTAAAAGTTAAGACAGTAGTCAGCTTTGGATCAAAGGGATCTAGTGACTAAGAGTAGCCATTTGGTACCTTCTTGGGGGCAAGCAATGTTCTTCAAGGGTCCTAACAACTGTGATAGATAATGAATGAGAGGAAGAGATTTCATCATTACCCAGAATATGGTTACTCAGGTGTACTTACTTTGTGAGCTATAGTTTTCACACTTTTTTGTATATATGGAACAATTCAACAAAGTATGTATTTTAAAAATACATATTACAGTATAAATGATTTGAGGATAGAAATAATGTTTTAGCCTTGTGTAGAAATATGGCTCTAAGAAAAGTAGACTGATTGCATATGTTTTAGAGGTGAACCAGGTAGAACTCACAGATATATTTTGTGTAGGGAATAAGGGAAAGGTAGTGATCAAGACTGACTACTAAGTTTTCAGCCTAAGTAACGGAATCAAAGTTGGTGACCCTCATGTTTCCAGAAAGACAGAACACATGACTGTGTTAGATGTTGCTTAGGATTTCAGTAAGAAGAACAGAGATATATACATTGGATTTAAACATGGAAGTCATCGATGATCTATACACAACATTAGGTTAGTGGCAGAGATGAAACCCTCATTGGAGCATGCTAAACTGTAATTATGAAGTGAGAAAGTGGAGAAAATAATTTTAGCCAACTTTAAGTAGGTTTCTGTTTTATTTTTAATATGTATTTATTTATTTTGAGAGAGAAACAGAAAGAAGCACAACACAGTCTCTGGCTGTCAGCACAGAGCCCGACATAGGTCTCAATCTCACGAACCATGAGATCATAACCTGACTCAAAACCAAGAGTCAGACTCTTAATGGACTGAGTCACCCAGGTGCCCCTGTTCTTGTATTTTGGTCTTTTTTTTTTTTTCCTTCTGTGACTCAGGAGAACAGAAATGCAAAGAAAGAAAAGAGCAAGCTGGGAAGCGTTGTGAGATTAGAGCAAGTTATGACATATATATTATACAAATGGTTGAGAAAAGAGAGTCTGGTATAAAAATATAAGCTTGACTTATTTAATAATTTTGGTAGACTAGGCCTCATCTACAATGATTCACCTTTCCCCACCACCCCAAAACCAGAAGCCACTTTTTAAGAAAGCTCTTGATACATTACTTGTACAACAAAGAGTTGATTTTTCTATTAAGTTTTGCTACATGTAGGGGAGGAAGTTCCCATTTGTTTCTCTTCATTTCTTTAGCTTTAACAGCTTTACTGAGATATTACTCACATACCAAAAAATTCACCCATTTAAAATGTACAATCATTTCTTCTTATGTCCTGGGTTCCTTAATGATGCTCAAGTGTTATCTGGTACTAATAACATTCAGCATAAACTAAAAAATGTTTTGGAAACAAAACAGATACTTTCCTTCTAAACCTTTATTTCAATGATCAATTTTAATGTAAAACATATTTATTGTACAAAACAAGAATTCAGAAAAAAAAAACAGAAGAAAAACCATTTCCAATTGATATACAGAGAAGAATGCATGGTAACATTCTGAGAAGTAAAATTTTTTGTTCTTAACTTTAGGAATCTTACTGTCATTCTATATCTGTGTGTTCTTCTGGATACGTGAGAAAACCCCTACATGTTTAAACTATTTATCTGTCCAACTACTTGAGGCCAAGAACATTCTTACCAAATATAGGCTTGATCCCTGATTTCTTGCACAGGAGCTGCTGATTCTTAGAGGAAATTATGTACTCATGTCTATTGGTATCACTCTAAATGAAAAGATTCCAGCTCAGAGGAGCTGTTAGCACACCTTCAAGGCTACCCTTTTTACGTATTCTTTCTCTTTCCTCCTGTATCCTCACTGTGATTATTCTAAACCTTTATAAATCTCACACCATCTTCCTCATTCTCGAAAAATAAACTAGCCTCCTACTTTACAAGGAAATCTCCATTACTTCTCAATACCTAAAATCTTATCTAAAACTCCTTACTTATTTGCTACAGTTTTAGATCCTGATTCTATTGTTGTTTGTTTTTGGTTCTGATACTTCTTGAGGGTTTACTAAAGCCAGACTTAATGTTTAGGGAAAGACAAAAATCCCTCTCCTCAAGTAATGTTAAGTATCAAGTATTATAAGACAAACACAGGATGCTATGGAAGCAGATGTGGCACACTAACACTTTCAGCTACAGGGTGTCAGGCCACTTAAGAGAGGTGATACCTAAACCAATCCGAAAAATGGTAAGTAGGGGTCAATGCTCTTTCCATGTGCCCCTAGCAGTCTTACTTCCTTTATATACCACTTAACACACCGTATTATAATTTATTTGATAAAGTCCTCTACAAGCAAGTGAAAATCCACTTAGGGCAAGGTTCCTATCTATCTTGTTAACCACTGTATCCTGGCATCTAAAAAAGTTCCTGTCAAAGAAAAGCACTGAATATTTGTATCATAAAATATTGGAAATGACAGTAACTTCAGAGTTAGAGTGCCCCGCCAGTGTTGATACTCAAAATATTTAAAAACCAGGATGGCTGTACACTGCTTTTAAGTGAGTTAAATTTCTAGTTAGATAAGAAAATTAAAATATACAGAAACCAATGCAAAATGAGTATACTTATTTCATCTTTCCTTAATGATTTTTCTCAAGTGCTCAATTTAACAAATAATTATTTAGTTTGCCTCTAAACTCTAAAATGCATTTATCCTTAATTTTCTCTGTGATGTAAATTTAACATTCACTGTTCACTCATTTACCTAATTAATAAAGTTGTGCCTATATGTCAACCTTAGATTACACTTAATGACTCAACAGAAACTTATTAAGAGCCTATTATCTGTGCAAATTTGTAATTTAGCTTTACTGTTCATGAACTAGTTTATGCAGATACTTCTGGATAGATTCTAGCTTAATAAATGCTCCTAGATGGGGCGCCTGAGTGGCTCAGTTGGTTAAGTGACCAAATCTTGATTTTGGCTCAGGTCATGATCTCATGGTTCATGAGACCAAGCCCCAAGTCAGGCTCTGTGCTGACAGTGTGGAGCCTGCTTGGGATGCTATCCCTCTGCCCCTCCCCAACTCATGTGTGTGTGGTGTGTGTGTGCATGTGTGTTCTGTCTCAAAATAAATACACTTAAAAAAAAATGCTCCAAGATGCTCAATAGATATTTTCTTTACTTTTTCTTTCATTTTAATAGTGAAGATAACTGATGAATTTCATCTGAAATCAGAAATCAAAGTTGAATGGAAAGAAACAGCTTATTGGTATAATCAAAAATTGGTATCTTTTGCAGCAACTATAGTCTTCAGCTTTAAAATTTTTAAGGGGATAGTTCACAAATAGTAGAAATCTGATAAACTGTTCTAAATGCTAATTTCAAATGTTAGTAATCAATCTGTATACTTTAGGTCTATATTGGTTACAAATACCACAGTTTATTCAGTATATGGAGACTTAAAAATAAAACAACAGACCCAACAAGGATAATTAAAATTAAGTTCTTCAGACAATCTGTCAAATACAATAGTGTTATAAATGGATTAGAATTATATCAGTAGATTGAACAAAGAAAGCATGAATTTCAGATTGGGAGTTATTTCTCCCTACATGTGCCCATTCTCAACTGACTTTTATCTAATCTATTTGCCATGGAAGTCATATAGTTGATTTGCTTAAAGGTAAAATTTTGTTCCACTAATGTTGTGGAATAACGATCTTCAATTAAGTTCACCATTTCCTTTAAATCACAAGACACAAGAATAGTTATCTCAAGATAGTCTAATTAGAGAATTTCAACTTGTCATTCGAAATGATTTATACACTGTCATTGATGTTTCTCATTTTAGAAATAAGTGTCATAATTCTAATAAAGAGTGATGACTTTCTTATCTTGGGTGCTAGTAACTACATAATTATTGTTTCAAGAATCACTACACAAATATTGAGAAAATGAATCACCAAAGAGTTTTAAAATGAGAACATGAAAATGGAAGTAATTTTAAATTACATAATGTAAAACTGAGAGCATGCTTCTTCAACATATCACACCAAAATCTGCAAAGTAAACATGACACACTAGGAATAGGAATAAGTTGGAATTCTTACCCTGAAAGGGAACAAACTAAAGGTTTTTCTCAGTTTGTCCAATTCTCAATTTCTTTAGAGTGGGTGGGTCTTTTCTTCTTTTGGCCTCGGAGAAAACTTTGGGCCACCTTTCTGCACGATGAAATGGAGAAGACAAGGAGGCACATTAGTTTCATAAAAGACTTGCAAAATTCCCATATTCATCCTCCACCTTACATTTAGGGCCCTCATAGCCTCGCCATTATCTTTCTGGGAAGATTAATTCCCATTTCCACTGTGGACTCTTCTCCAATATATTCTGTGCTGAAGCTTCTTGGTGTTCATTCCTTTGGTAACATGTTCATACCTCATTTCTTTCAGAATATTTGTTGAAATCTTTTATCCATTGATGACTCCCCAACCCTTTTTCCTGTTATGTGTATATTCTTATTTTTTTATTGTAATCTTAATGGAAGGAAAAGACATAAATAAATCAGCCTGTAATCCTGAACAGAACTTGGCAATTTGCTTTCTTACCAATACATTATGAACATTTCCCATGTCATTTACTGCCTACATTATTTAAGCATAGGCATGATTTTAGTTTTGAAGCCAAAGTTACATTTTTTACTCCTCAGTTATGTATTTACACAGTTCTAATGAAATTCAAAGTAAATATCACAGTATTTTTCCAATATTGGAATCACTAGATGATTTTTTTGTGTTTTGTTAGTGATTTAGAGACCTTCACTATCTATTTTTTCTTTTGTTGCCTGTGCTTTTTGTGGTCATATAAAAAACTCATTGCCAAATCCAATGCCATGAAGGTTTCTCCTGTTTTTCTCTAAGACTGTATAGTGTTAGCTCTTACATTTAAGTTTTCGATCCATTTTTACTTAATTTTTGTATATGGTGTGAGGTAAGGGTCCAACTTCATTGTTTTCAACACCAATGGCTGAAAAAACTGCCATTTCCACATTGAATGGTCTTGGCATCTTTCTTGAAAATCATCTGACCATTTATATGAGGGTTTTGGGGGGCTCTCTATTCCAATGATTTATATGTATGCCTTTAGGTCAGTGATATACTGTTTTGATTCTGTAGCTCTGTAACATGTTTTGAAGCCAGCAATGTGAAACCTCTAGTTTGTTACACTTTCTCAAGATTGATTTGGCTATTCAGGGATTCCCTTGAATTCCTTGGATTCCATATTAATTTTAAGATATTTTCCATTTGCTTGATAATAGTCATCCTAGTGGGTATGACAGTAATAATTTTAATTCCAATCATCTATTTCCTTAATATATATTTTTTTCGATTCTATCAGTTAGTGAAGGAGTTAAGTTAAAAATCTGCCAGTATTGTGTGTTTATCTCTTAGTTCTGTCTAGCTATGCTTCATATATTGTGAAGGTGTTTTATTAGATACACACAAACCATTTATCTTCTGGTGGAAATAATACTTTTTTTTTTCCTGAAAGTCTGCTTTGTCTCACATTAATATATCAAGCTACTTTCTACTTCAGCTTACTCATGATCAATATTTTTTCATCCTTTGCTATTTTCCACAGATCACTTATAATCAGCATTTTTCTTAATCCAATATGACAGTCTTTGTTCTGAGTACTCTACATACATTTAATATAATACTGATATATTTGGTTTTAAATACATCATCCTTCAGTGTGTAAAGCAGTAAAATGAATGTCGCCTAAGTCTATTTTTCCTAAATCTTTTCATTAAAATATCACTAGAAGAAGTAATCAAAATTATTAACATTATATATTACCAATATTTAAAATTTTTATTATTTTCTCAGCAAAAAATTTGAGACGGATATAATTTAGGTCATGTGGGGAAAAAGCATACTTTCTCTAACTCTTAACTAAAGGACCATTTCATAAACATAGTATGTATGTACATATGTGTGTGTGTGCATATATATATATATATATATATATATATATATAGCATATATACATATATACACAGACACAAAAACATATCTGCCTTGATATTTTATAGTTGATCATTTCTTTATTGCTCTACATTTCTCTTCTGAAAAAAATGAATAAACCTGCCTCACAGTTTTGTAAAGATGAAAGATGGGGCGCCTGGGTGGATCCATCGGTTAAGCGTCCAACTTTAGCTCAGGTCATGATCTCACAGCTTGTGAGTTTGAGCTCCAAGTCGGGCTCTGTGCTGACAGCTCAGAGCCTGAAGCCTGATTCGGATTCTAGGTCTCCCTCTCTCTCTCTGCCCCTCCCCCACTCATGCTCTCTCTGTCTCTTTCAAAAATAAAACATTACAATAATTTTTTTAAAAGATGCAACATAATTATGATCTTATAAAGATTTTTGTTGACTTTTAGAAACAATGGATTATGGAATATTCTGCTAATTCACTTAATATCAAGACGCAAAGATTTTTTCCCTAGGCTTCTTCCTCTTTTCCTCAATCTAGGACATTATTTTCACCCTAAATCAAAGATATCCATATGCATATTTTTTAAAGTAAGTTTGCTCTATCTGGAAAGCTGTAGTTGTCTTCTGCCTAGCTGCATAGACAAAAAAAACTTTTTTATTCTCTTAAGACTGTTTAGACTATGTTTGATAACTTAAAAAAATATATTGATGAAAATATTAAATATTCCAACTTAGTGAATGATATATTCAATGTCAAGAAATAATTACATTTTTCATGAATATAAATGTCATTGGTAATTTAAATCGTATTTCTGTTGCTAATAAATTCCCAAGTTAAAAAACAAGATTTGGTGTAAATGTAGTCATTTCATTTCCATTTTCATCTAAACAGTATTAAAAATCAAAATCGAAAAATAGTAAAAGGATCATCTGGCTTCTAAAACTCTTCATTTTGAGCAATCACCTCAGTCACTAAGCTCAACATATCAATGATTTTCTCAACATATTTTCTCAATAAGTTATTTCCAGGTAGTTCTAGTACTGCCTTATCTCTGATCTTTAAACTTTTATATTAGCTAACCAAGGTATTTCAAACATATCAGTTCATTTGAGATAATAAATACATCAAACTGTCTTGTCAGAGAAAAAACAACCAAAAACTTTTTTAAGTTGAAAATTTGGATTATTCCAGGAAAAGTACTTGTAGCATGGGATAAGGCAAGAACTTTTCTTATCATGCCTGGAAATAATGTACAGCAATGCAATTCATTATAATTTAGAAGAATAATTAAGAATTTTGATATTAGTTTAGGATGATCTTTGGAGAAAAAAGTTTTTTTGTTTTTTTTTTTTTCAGGCACAAAGGGCTTTGATTACTACTAAGGAACACTCGGTATCAAAATAATATCTTTCTGTCACATACTCTAAAAAAAATTACGATGCAATAATATAAAAAAAATTGTGACTCACTATGATGATATCCATTATCTGGACATACAGGATCCTCTTCTAAATGTGATTTCATTTTAAGACAAAATAATGTAACAAGAGTCATTAATTCTCAAACTGATGGAGAATCTTTCCAGGGTTCCCCAATTAAGTGAGAATTTTTAAATTAAAAAAATATATCAATGATAAAATAAAAAAGTATATATATAAGATCACAGTCAGGTCAACTCAATGAAAACTGTATATAAATGAACAAAGATACCAAATTTAATTGCCTGAGTTGGCAATGTTTATAGGAGCTGGTGGAAAAACAGGCTGGGCTAGTTTTAGAATGGCTTTTTAAAACATGCTAAGGAGTCACTTCAGGAGTTTGAGAAGAGAACTGTAATGGCAACATTTACATTTTTAAAAGATCATTTTAGATATCAATATAAAGAATAAGTTGGAAGCCGAAAGACAAAAACTAATTAGAAGAAACTATTATAATAGTTATATTAGTATAACTATTATAGTCATACTATATAGTATATTATATACTACAGTATAATATATATAGTATATTATATAACACATACGATATAATACATAATAGTTATATATTATATAGTAGAACAAATTATGTTATAAAGTATATATTATACATAAACTATGTAATACATATAGTACATATTACATATATTATATAATAGTTCTATTATAATAGAAAACTGTAGCACAGCAAGGATTATGAATTAGGATTTGAAAGACAGCTAAGAAGTAGGATCCATAAAACCAGGTGAACAGATTGGCTATGGAATGAGAGGCAGGAGTTTTTTAAAGCCAGAGGGGATTATTATAAAATGACTGTAGAGGGGTGCCCAGGTGGCTCACTTGGCTGAGTGTCCAACTCTTGATTTTGGCTCGGGTCATAATTGCCTGATTCGTGGGATAGAGCTCAGCGTCAGGCTCCAAGTGCAGAGCCTGCTTGGAATCCTCTCTCTCTGCCCCTTCTCTGTGTGTTCATGTGCTCTCTTGCTCTCGCTCTTGCTCTTGCTCTCTCTCTCCCTCTCAAAATAAATAAACTTAAAAAAATATAGGGGCGCCTGGGTGGCTCAGTCAGTTGAGTGTCTGACTCTTGATTTCTGCTCAGGTCATGATCCCAGGATTGTGGAATTGAGCTCCACATAGAGCTCTGTACTGAGTGTGGATCCTGCTTGAGATTCTCTCTTTCTCCCTCGGCCCCTCCCCTGTTCACACTCTCTTTCTAAAATAAAAATTGTAAAAATAGAAAAAAAGTTAAAGACTGTAGAGAAAATGATTAATATTAGTGAATTAAAATCACATCTTTTTTTGTACTTTTAAGAATCAACTATACATAGGCAATTTAAAAATCTACACTAGGAAATTATGTCTTTAACTTTGCAACTACTATAAATTCAACAATTTTACTATATAATCTGAGTTGTGCAATGAGTTTGGAAAATTTTCCTCTCCTTTGCTATATAATCTTTTTAAACAATCTACCTTAATTTCTTTCTCCAGATCCTACAGAAGCTTAAAGTCATTCTTTCATTGTTGTTTATTTGGTAGCTTTATAAAATGTCTTTTCTCTGACAAACTGACTTTGTCTTCTTGGTTTTTACAGTGCAGATGTCAAAGTCTCAGAATTATTTCTTCTCTCCTCATTCTAAATAGGAAAAACAGTTTTCATAGGCACATATAGAAACTGTCACAAAAAATTAATGGGACGGAATTGCTGGTCTTAATCCACATGACTGATAGCCCTGTGATAGCTTTTACATTCTTACACATTTAAATAGTCATTTTGGGGGTGCCTGGGTGGCTCAGTAGGTTAAGCGTCTCACTCTTGATCTCATCTCAGGTCTTGATCTCAGGGTCATGAATTCAAGCCTTGCGTTGGGCTCTGTGCTAGGAAAAGGCATTTTGCCTGTTTGACCTCAGTATCTAAAACAATGTCTGGCACATGGTAGGTGCTAAATAAATATTTGTTAATTACGGAATTAATGAATTCATATCTCAAATAGCAAGAGTATAACTGTCAAGCCTCAGAGGAGACTTGCTCTTACTTCATTTGATAAGAGTATAGGATTCCCTCTATTGGAAGTTTTTTCTTTCTCTGCGCAATCCTACCACATTCTGGATTCTCTGTTGATGTCCTCATATTTATTCTCCCTACTTTAGGGCTGTTCAGGTTTATCAAATTTTTCTTCACCTACATGTTTCCAAAAGAAAATCACTGCACTTAGTTACTGTGCATATAATTATGACACTCACATTTTTATTTTTTTAAAAAACAAAAGCTCTGTCAGAAGCTAATTCCGATTAAACACAAAGCATTTCAAGTCAAAAAATTATGAAGCACAGATTGTATGTCCAGAGCAAGGTTAGCTGCTAGAGACAGTAGTATCTCTTTTATAAATGGAATGTAAATGGCATAGTAATCTGAAATCCACTAGCATTCATCCCATTGAAAAGGACACGAACAAGCTCTCCTTTCACAGATGGGAACTTGATTATCATTCTTTCTCTCTTTGAATTCATATTTTTATCTCACTTCTCCCACATAACTTTATCCTAACATTTTAGTGTTTGAAAATATTTTAAACTGACCATCCTATTACATTTTCCTGTAACAACAGCAAAATATATATATATATTTTTTAAATCCTCAGAACATAAGTTCCAAAAATTTTCTTTAGTATTATCATTAAATTATTAGACTACTAATGATCAAATAACAAACGTATTACAAATTATGATCATTATAAAATATCAAGTCAGTTCTTACTGGAAATGCATCTCATAAAGAAATAGATAGGGCTTTCTCTCCGATTAGATCATGTATCCAGGATTGATACTATTTATTGCTAAGAAAGTAATACTTTCTTCAATACTATTTATTGAAAGAAACAGTTTGCGTTAATTCTTTTCTTCTATTTTGTATTCTTCTATACTAAGTATTTGGGAGTAGAAGGATTTCTGGTTATAACCACCATTCTTTTGAACCACTAAGCCATGTATCAAAAATCACATAGAGGTATCTCATCAAAAATTATTTCTAATAAGCTGACAATTCAATTGAGTCCTGCAATACTTTCGAAGGCCTTTGGAAATTGCCACTCTTGTAAAAGAATTAGTTACCCAGTCATTAGAATCACTCACTTTCTTAACAGATTTAGGTCAGATTAAAGGTATTGCTTTATTTGTAGAGTGGGAGAGGGACATGACCAAAGAAGAAGGGGGAAAGATGTCAGATTTAGGCACACTCTAAGGCAAATCAACTTTAGAGAAGAAAACATACAAGTGGACAACCTGAGAATTAGTACCCTTGAACTATACTTTATGTAAAGGGTATGTATGGAAACCCTCCATGTACCTTGCAAAGTGAAAGGTTACCGATTTGAAGAGCGTTGCTTCAGGATACACACACATTTGGGTACAGTGTAACAAGTCATGACTTTAAGTAGTTCACATCCTTTTGTGTATGTTACCTGTTTTTCCCCCACCTTGGGTGTGTGTGTGATGATGTATGGGAGAAAATCATTTTAATATAAAAATAACTTTGTTAACAAAAACCCATCTTTTTCATAATTATAGTAACAAGGTATGTATTTTTTCTTAATTTTTTTTTAATGTTTATTTATTTTTGGGACAGAGAGAGACAGAGCATGAACGGGGGAGGGGCAGAGAGAGAGGGAGACACAGAACTGGAAACAGGCTCCAGGCTCTGAGCCATCAGCCCAGAGCCCGACGCGGGGCTCGAACTCCCGGACCGCGAGATCGTGACCTGAGCTGAAGTCGGACACTTAACCGACTGAGCCACCCAGGCGCCCCAAGGTATGTATTTTAAATACAAATTGGCTCTCATCAAATTAACTTTAAAATAATTAGCTAAGTCATTTTCTCTTTACTCAGAAAAGATAAAAATGCATTTCCTTTTTCAACAAGTCTCAAATTATTCTAAATTGTGAATGAAAGTTGAAAAATAGAGATCATTGCCATATCTACAAATTTGAAACCAGATAATCACTTTATTTCTGATGATTTGGGGTGCCTCAGCCAATTTTATTAACATTCCTCAAAACTCTGCTATCCAAAACAAACTGTTTGGTGGTCTTTTAAGTTTGTAAAGACATTACCGAGGCAATCAAAAACTAAATGACTCATGTCCAAAATATTAAAAACACTGCTCTCTTCCAGACCGATAAATTGACTTTTTTAAAAATTACATTTAGATTTTTAACCTATTTTATTTTATTTTATTTTAAAAAAAATTTTTTTTCAACGTTTATTTGTTTTTGGGACAGAGAGAGACAGAGCATGAACGGGCGAGGGGCAGAGAGAGAGGGAGACACAGAATCGGAAACAGGCTCCAGGCTCTGAGCCATCAGCCCAGAGCCCGACGCGGGGCTCAAACTCACGGACCGCGAGATCGTGACCTGGCTGAAGTCGGACGCTTAACCGACTGCGCCACCCAGGCGCCCCTAACCTATTTTAAAAATAGGATGTAATTTTAAGCTGCGTGTGGTGTTTATTCACAACAGCTGTTAATTTTCACTTAAATCAAAAAGAGAAGGTTATCAACAAAAACATATTTTAAAGTTAAGCCTTGAGGGGCGCCTGGGTGGCTCAGTTGGTTGGGCTTCCGACTTAGGCTCGGGTCATGATCCCACGCTTCGTGGGTTCGAGCCCTGTGTTGGGCTCTGTGCTGGCAGCTCAGAGCCTGGAGCCTGCCTCGGATTCTGTGTCCTCCCTCTCTCTCTCTGCCCCTCTCCTGCATGTACTCTCTCTCTCTCTCTCTCTGTCTCCCCCCCCCAAAAAAAGTTAGCCCTTGAGTCGAACCCATCCTTTGATCAGAGATGACAGGTGGGGTGATGAATCAAAACGGTATGTAAAAACATCTTCTAACCTTAACCAATATTTAAGCCTTCAGTTGACAAAATACTAAGTAAGAGGGTGGCGAAGGGCGTCATTGTTGCTAATTGGCGGTTAATGAGGATAAATTGCCTACATTTACCGTCTTCTCCTTTATTTTTTTTTTTTAGGCAGAAATAGCCGCAGAGCTTGAGGGGATCCACCTGACTGCGACCTCCAAGGACAGTAACGAATTCAACAACTCGCGACTCCGCAGCTCAGGGATTATCATCTAGAAACGACCAAAGGCCGTAGCAACTCTAGGGCAGCCGGGTACAATTCCCAAATCCCAAAGCTTGGCACTCAACTCAAAAAATTATATATATATTTTTTTAAGAGCAGTGTTCTGAATAACTATGGGACCATGAGTAATTCGTCGAGCTTGTGTTTCAAACGATAGCCTGAAAATTCGCAGCAGCGCCCAGGAAACGGAGATGGGGAGCTCTGCACAGCTTCCTGCCGCCCCCCTCGTCCCGAAAGCATCGTTACAGGTTTCTCAACTCCCAGCCACAGCGAGGCGAGAGCTTTATAAACCCTGAACGGCGCTGAGAGGACCCAACACGCACCACAAACGCTCGGGGACCCCCAAGCGGTCGCTGAGTGAAAAGAAGTCGCTGGAGGACTGCTGAAAAACAAGCCACCGACTCGACCGCCACAGCGGCGGGTAACGGCCCTTACCCAACTCCAGCTCCGCCTTCACCTCCGCCTCCGCCTCCGCCTCCGCCTCCTAGCGTCGCCGCGGCCCCGCCCCGCCGCGGAGGCTCACGGGACACGTAGTACGCCGCGCCCACATCCTCCTTGCCCCACCCCTCAAAGCTGTGCCTTCTGGAATGCCCTGTCAGCTCCCTCCGGCCTGACTTCCGGTTTGCTCGCGCGGCCCCGGCGTCTAGCTTGAGAACAGCTGGGACCCTACTTCCGGCGGTGCGCTGCTTCCAGCCCCCCTGTACAGCTCTTTCCCTTCGCGGAACGCGAGGCGGCTGTCGGTCGGCGGACGCTGACGAGGCGGGTGCCGGCGGGCCTGGGTCTCGCGCGCGTGTTGCTGGGTAACGGGCCTTCTGCCGGGCCGGCTCGGCCTCTTCTGCCTAGCGTTGGCCCTCCTTCCAGAACCTCCCCGGGCCCCAGCCGACGGGCCGGGCTGCGCCCACTGCGGGGCAGCCGAGGCCAAAGAAATGGGAATCCTTCCGCGGCGTTCCCGGAGCGGCTGCCTTGTCTGGGGAAGCGGCGGTGTCTTCGAGGAAACCGGAAGCCCGCGGTGACCTCTGGCGACCCGGTTTGTTTTCGGTCCGTTTCCAAACACTGGGGAATCGAAACTCGGCGGCCCTGGGGGCGGCCCTACGGAGCCTGTCTTCGGGGTGAGTGACTCGATTCGACCGGGCTAAGGGTGCGGGCAGTGTCGGGATCAACCTCCGCTGCTGTTGGTGCTCGGAAGAGACACGTCATTTTCTTCACAAACCCTTGCCCTCTCCTTTGACTAGGGAGCGGCCCGCCCCTGGGCATCCCTAACTCCTGTTTGATTTGCACGCTAGCTCTTCCAAGCCTTCCGTCCTCCTTCACTTTATTTCCCCCTTTGGCTTATTTTCTTTTCATATTCTGAATTAATGGAGCGCCTTTAGTTTCATTTCATTCATTGAAATTGCATTTCTGTCGGAAACGGAAGAAGGCTGTGTAGCTGGGACGCTACTGCCTGGGGCATCCAAGCAGTGGACTTCACGTTAACGAGGCTAACAGTAGGTAATTCGTCGTTTCTCCAGTGTCTGACCTGTGTGTTTGGCATGATTTTTCGATCATTTGTTGAGTTACTACTACATGCACGGTAGGTGGACTGTCGTTTCCTACAAACAAGGAACTTAGATACTCAAAAGCGAGGTGAAGTGTTAACTAAAACTGTAATACGAGTGTGTTGCTGGAGATACGCTAAGATGATCAAAGGTAGTGACGGTTTAGGATGGAAATAGACCCGTGCCTCTCAAACACAGGAAACATTTTCTTTTTTACTGTGGAATTTTGAATTGGGTTGCTCGAGATCTCAGTATATAATTTAAATTCTAGTTTTCTAAACGTGCCATATCTAATTTCCCAACCTCTTGTGGTCGCTCCCTCCTTCATCTGTAAGTTAGGAATGATAATCCTTCACGGGGTCAATAGAAAATTTTAATGCGATATTATTTATTAAATGGGAAGTTTTGATACATGTAAGGTTTTAGTATTAAAGAGAGAGTATGGTGTAATGGGAAATGCACTGGATTAAGTCAGAACAGTAATTCAGGATCTGAGTGCTGAATTTTCCACTTAATCGCTTGACACTGGTTGGGGGACCAAATCTCTTCTTCATTTTTCCTATCTCCCAAATGAGAGTTATGTTTACTTTTCACCGCACCGACGCATAGTTTCTAAGAGTTTTGCTGGCTCTGGAATCAACTGGCCGGTTTTCATTCCTTGGCTTCCCCACTTTCTAACATTTGCCTCTTAGTCAATCCACCTGTGATAACAGGAAATTCTTGCCCACATCAGAGGTCTTCCGCAGATTTAACGAATCGTCATGAAGAAGAGAAAAGTAGTTCCCCTAAAAGCTGCCTGACCTACCGTAAACCATCGGTAAATATCGTCAACACAACATTTTCATGATTATATGAAACGTGATGAGGTTTTTCTTAATCCATGAAGTAATAAAACCAATGTAATTTACTTTTTTCTCTTGTGGTATTTATATTCTGGATTATAGTTCTGTTATCACTATTGGAGAGTAATTACTGCTATACTAATAACACTTGATGTATATAAGTGCTCAATTCCATTGAGATGTGTTACTTTATGAAAAGAATAAAAAGTAGATTGCTTTTTGTACTTATGCTAACCCTGAGGAAGTCTTATGATTCCCTAGTCATAAATGTTACTTCTGGACTGTTGCAGTTTAGTGACACTCAGTGAGGGTTATAGAAACGAAAACGGAGTTGTTTATATTGTATATCCGATGTTGAGTATATTTGGGGCACTTACTGAATTGTAGGACATTTGAGTGCTGAGATCCATAGAGTGACAGTCTCTTGAAAAAAGGCACTTGATTATCTCTTCTTTGTAAACTAGGTAGGCCATTCCTGCCCCTAATTATTTGATTAAAAATGGGGAACGAGGAGTAAGTGTTGGTCCGTTTGCCTCCATCAGACTTAATCTTTGCCCCGTTAGTGTCTTGACTGATCCTATGAAGTGGGTTAGGGATAATTTAGCTTTTCAGAAGTAGAAGGATGATGGAAATATGAGGCTCAGTTCAGGAGGCAATACAGAATAGAGGAAAAGAGGTAAACAGTTCTTGATTCCAACCCTAGCTCTGCCGCATACCACCAGTACGACTACAGGGAAATGAGCCTCACCTCTTTAGAGCTTCAGTTTCTTCATCTGTGGTGGTGATAACAACTTTCTAGCCAAGATTGGTGTGGATCTGAGGTAAGCTTTGTGCTATACCATTTAGTCAGTTTCTGGAAAAAATGTGAATTCTTTCAGTCTGTTTAGGTTGCCGTTTTATATCTGCATTAAATTTTGCCTTCACAATTTCAGAAGGTGGGATCTTAGTGATGTAGTTCAACCCTGTCATTTTATTGGTGGGAAAATTTAGATCGAGAGAGGTAAACCTGTCAGTAATCAAGGTGGCAGATTGTAGACTAGAGTCTGGGTTTCTGAATCTCTGGTCAGTGTTCTTTCTACCACTGAGCTCTGCCTTTTCCAGATTCTTATTAGAAAAAAATCCGAATCCATGTTGTATTGTCTCTCAGAATGTTGTATTAAGAGCACAGATTTAGCAGAAAGCTTATATGGGTTCACATCCCAGTTTTGCCACTGATTACTTATGTAGCTGTAGGTAAGGTATTTAATTTTTTTAAGACCTTGGCTATAAATTAGGATAAGAGTTCCTTCCTAAGAATCTAGAAAATGCCTGTGGAAGCACTAGTGCCTGGCATATGGTAAGCGATGGATATGGTAAATACCATGATGATGAAATATGACAGGATAATCCTATGTTTTCCTAGTTAAAAAAAAAAAAAAAGACGTGTCTGGTGTCAGAAGATACTTCTGTGTTTTCTAACATCTCACAACCCTGTATGTATAGCATGTCTCACCTTGGGCTCTTAATGTTGATTGTAGTGAAGATTGCAATTTAGGATTTTCTAGAATAATTCTTACAGTGTTTGAATGTTTTTTTCTTGGTCTCTCCCTTAGCCTCAGGAACTACTCTTGATACTTTTTACCCACCTTATGTGGCAAATACGTTGCTCTTTCTCCATTATCATTGCAATATTGTAATTTATAAGAAATGTATATTTGATCATTTAGATAGCCAAAATACGTTTCTCATATGTACTTGGCTTTTGTCCACAGTTCTTGGCCCACAGCCCCCCAAACCCTTGGAATTTTCTGAGGGTAAGAGGTATGGGATCATCTTTTGTCCTATTTGGTCACTTAACAACCTCTTTTACTGAAGTTGCTTCAGAGCCATGAAGGTGAAATGGGTGTCTTCTCATTCATAACCAGTCCCTGTTTACTGAAACTATGTTTATGGTAATGAGATGACTTTGGACAGCAACTAAGGATGGGGCTGATTGCCAAGGAAACCAACCATGTAATTAGAGGGTTGGAGCTTTCAGTCCCACCAAGGTTGGTAGAGGGAAGGAGCTGAAAGTTGAATCGATTGCCAATGGCTTAATCATTTCTGTGTAAGGAAGCCTTTGTGAAAACCTAAAGAGGAGAGGGTTCAGAGAGCTCCCAGAACTTTTTCACATGCCACTGTGCCAGCCTCAAACTCCAGGAGGACAGAGCTGCTTTGTTCAGGACCTATGTATCTGTGTGGTCGGAAGCACAGGTAACAACCTAGGCTTACAATTAGCGTCCAGAGTAGAGGGCAGTCTTGTGGCACCAAGCCCTTTACCTGTGGAATATGTTGCTGTCTCTGGGTAGATCATTTCAAAATGGAGTTGAATTGTAGAGAGCTTTGCTTATTGATAGTGTAGAATCATCTGCCCCTCATGTTGGGATTGGCTGACCAGAACACGTTTTAATCATTCTTGGGAATTTCATTGTTCTCAGCAATAACTGTCAACATCTTTCACCGAAACCCTTTTTAATTCTCTTTTAATTTGTACTTTTCTTATGTAAACATCTAAGAAGAGTCAGTTTAATTCCAAATATATAAAATATTTGCATTATATATTTCCTATAGGTAAATCTGTCTGATTCTCCTATACTATTGTGACGAGAGAGATAATGAAGTTGCTTTCTATAATTTTAAAAACAAAATCTCCATGCAAAAGTTAGGTGCTGTTTAACAATTGATAATATAAAACTAACCATGCCCACAATTGTTTAATAATACTAGTTACAGTTGGAATTCTATAAATCGCATAATAGCCACTTTGTAGAGTAATGACTGTCAAATTGGATAGGGACTTAAAATCATATGGGATGATTATTGAAAGTTCAGTTTGACATTTTCATCCCAGATATATATCTATATCTATATGTAGATATACATATAGATATGTCTATAGATGTATATATATCTATATCTATATATACTGACTTGCATAGATCTGCAGTGCAGTCTAGCAGTCACTATTTTTGTTTATTTGTTTTCCATTATCATTTTATTTATTTACTGAAATATAGTTAACATATAATGTTATATTAGTTTCAGGTGTAAAATATACTGATTTAACAACCATATACATTATGCTATGCTCATCCCTACCCCTCTGGCAACCATTAGTTCTCTGTATTTATGGGTCCATTTCTGCTTTTGTTCTTTTGTTTTTTAGATTGTACATCTAAGTAAAATCATGTAAGATTTGTCTTTGACTTATTTCATTAGCATGATGCCCTGTAGGTCTATCCCTGTTGTCACAAATGGCAAGATCTCATTCTTTTTTATGGCTGAGTAATATTCCATTGTGTGTGTATGTGTGTGCCGTATCTTCATTATCCATTTGTCTGTCAATGGACACTTAGGTTGTCTCCATATCTTGGCTGTTGTAAATTCTACAGTAAACATAGGGGTGCATATATCATTTCAAATTAGTGTTTCCATTTTTGGGGGGAATTACGGAGTGATAATGGTTTTTCTATTTTTAAATGTTTTTTTTCTATTCCATTCTATTCCAGAATATGTGTTTTTCTATTCTATCATGTTTTCCACAGTGACTATACCAATTTACATTTCCACTAGGGAATGCACTAGGGCCTCTTTTTCTATGCATCTTTGCCAACACTTAATATTTTTTGTGTTTTTGATAGTAGCTATTCTGACAGTTGTAAGGTTCTATATCCTTGTGGTTTTGATTTGCATTTCCCTGATGGTTAGTGATATTGAGCATCTTTTAATGTATCTGTTGGCCGTCTGTATGTCTTCTTTGGGTAGATGTCTATTCAGGTCCTCTCCCCATTTTTTGTTCATATTATTTGGGATTTTTTAGTGTTATATAAGTTTTTATATTATCACTATTAACCCCTTATCAATACGCCATATGCAAATCTCTTCTCCCATTTGGTAGATTGCCCTTGTGTTTTGTTGATGGTTTCCTTTGCCATGTGAGTTTGTTTATTTTGGTGTAGCCCCAATAGTTTATTTTTGCTTTTGTTTCCCTTTCCTGAGGAGACATGTCTAGAAAAATGTTGCTAAGTCTAATGACAAAGAGATTACTGCCTAGATTTTCTTCTAATTTTATGGTTTCAGGTCTCACATTTAGGTCTTTAATGCATTTTGAGTGTATTTTTGTATATGGTGTAAGAGTGTGGTGCAGTTTCATTCTTTTGCATATAGCTGTCTAATTTTCTCAATACCAGTTGTTGAGGAGACTATCTTTTTCCCCGTTGCCTAGTCTTGTCTCCATTGTCATAGATTAATTGACCATGTCAGCATGGGTTTATTTCTGAGCTCTCTATTCTGTGTCTCTTTATGTGCCACTACCATACTATTTTGATTACTGTAGCTTTGTAGTATATCTTGAAATCTGGAATTGTAGTATGTCCAGCTTTGTTCTTCTTTCTCAAGACTGCTTTGGATATCCAGGGTCTTTTATGATTCCATACAAATTTTAGTATCATTTGTTCTAGTTCTGTGAAAAATGCTGTTGGTATTTTGACTGGGATTGTATTAAATCTGTAGATTGCTTTGTGTATAGGATGTACATTTTAACAATACTCTTCTAACCCAAAAGTATGGGATATGTTTCATTTGTGTTGTCTTCAATTTCTTTCATTGTTTTATAGTTTTCACTGTACAGATCTTTCACTTCCTTGGTTAAGTTTATTAGGTATTTTGTTCTTTTTGGTTCAATTGTAAATGGAACTGTTTTAATTTCTCTTTCTGCTACTTTTTTATTAGTGTATAAAAACAACAGATTTCTGTATATTAATTTTGTAAACTACAACTTTACTGAACTTGTTTATTCTAATTTTTGGTGGAGTCTTCAGGTTGTTTTTTTTTTTTTATGTCTAGTGCCATGTAAATAATGACAGTTTTACTTCTTACCAGTTTGGATGCCCTTTATTTCTTTTTCTTGTTTGTTTACTAGAACTTCCTAGGCTAGGACCTTCCAGTACTATGTTGATTAAAAGTGGAGAGAACAGACACTCTTGTCTTGTTCCTGATCTTGGAAGAAAAGCTCTCAGGTTTTCACTATTATGATGTTAGCTGTGGGGTTTTCATATATGACCTTAATTATCCTGAGGTATGTTCTCTCTAAACCCACTTTGTTGAGAGAGTTTTTATTATGAACAGCTGTTGAATTTTGTCCATTGCTTTTTCTGGATCTATTGAGATGATCATCTTACTTTTATCCTTCATTTTGCTAATGTGGTATGTCACATTAAGTTGATTTGTGGATATTGAACCATCCTTCATACCCAGAAGAAATCCCATATGATTGTGGTGAATGATCCTTTTCATATATTTTTGAATGCAGTTTGATAAAATTTTGTTTGAGGATTTTTGCTATTATTTGTTTGACTTCATCAGGGATATTGACCTGTAGTTTTCTTTTCTTTTCTTTTTTTTTTTTTTTTTTTTTTTTTTTTTTTGTAGTGTCTTTGTCTGGTTTTAGTATCAGGATACTGCTGGCTTCATAGAATGAATTTGGAAGTTTTCCTTCCTCTTCTGTTTTTGGAACGGTTTGAGAATAAGTATTAATTCTTTAAATCTTTGGTGGAATTCACCTGGTGAATCCATCTGGTCCAGGATTTTGTTTGTTCAGAGTGTTTTAAGTTAATGATTCAATTTTATTACTAGTAATTGCTTGTTCAGATTTTCTATTTTTCCTGACTCAGTGTTGGAAGATTGTGTTTCCAGGAGTTTATCTATTTCTTTTCAGTTGTTTGTCCAGTTTGTTGATAGATAGTTTTTCATAGTAGTCTCTTAAAATCTTTTTTGTCTTTGAGTGATATCAGTTGTTATTTCTCCTCTTTAATTTCTGACTTTTTTGGGGGCCTCTCTCCTTTTTTTCTCTTTATGAGTCTGGCCAGAGGTGTATCAATTTTGTTTGTCCCTTCAGACAACCAGTTCTTTATTTCATTAATCTTTTCTATTGTTATTTGGTCTCTATTTTGTTTATTTTGGTCTATTTCGTTTATTTCTGCTCTGATCTTCATTACTTTCTGCCTTCTAGTAACTGTGGACATTGTTCTTCTTCTGGTTCCTGTAGGTTATTGTTAGATTGTTTATTTGAAATTTTTCTTGGGGCTTCTGGGTGGCTCAGTTGGTTAAGCCTCCGACTTGAGTTCCGGTCATCATCTTGCAGTCTGTGAGTTCAAGCCCTGTGTCCAGCTCTGTGCGGACAGCTCAGAGCCTGAAGCCTGCTTCTGATTCTGTGTCTCCCTCACTCTCTACCTCCCCCTGCTTGTGCTTTCTCTCTGTCAAAAACATTAAAAAAATTTTTTTTTAATTAAAGTTTTTTTCTTGATATAGGCCTGTATTGCATTAAATTTCCCTCTTAAAACTACTTTTGCTGTGTCCCAAAGATTTTGGACCATTGTGTGTTCATTTTCATTTTCTCAGTGTATTTTTTTTTAAGTTTCTCTTTGATGTCTTCATTGACCCATTGGTTGTTTAGTGCCATGTTGTTGAGCCTTCACATGTTTGTGTTTTTCAAGTTTTTCTCTTGGGATTGATTTTTAGTTTCATATTGTGGTCAGAAAAGATACTTGGTATGATTATAATCTTAAATTTATTGAGACTTGTTTTGTGGCCTAACATGATCTATTCTGGAGAATGTTCTATGTGCACTTGAAAAGAATGTGTATTCTGTTGTTTTGGGTGGAATGTTCTATATATGTCTGTGTTAAGTCCATCTGGTCTAATGTGTCTTTCAGAAACACCATTTCCTTATTGATTCTCTGCCTGGATGACCTATCCATTGATGTAAGTAGGGTGTTAAAGTTTCTGACTATTATTGTATTACTGTCAGTTTCTCCCTTCTTGTCTGCTAACTAATGTTTGCTTTATTTATTTAGGTGCTCCAATGTCAGATGCATAGATATTTATAATTGTTACATTCTCTTGTTGGGTTGATCCCTTTATAGTTACATAATGCTCTTCTTTGTCTCTTATTACAGTCTGTGTTAAAGTCTGTTTCATCTGATAAGTATTGGTGCTCCCAGGTTTGTTTGTTTTTTTCCGTAATTGAGTTTTTATTGTTCTGGGGATCAGAACAGACATTTCAATTTGTACACATTTCTAGACATATGTACCGAACAATTTGAAAAATCATGTAGTTGTGATTTCTTTTTCTAAAGGTTATTTCAGTGACCTTTCAGCTTAAAATTTGGAGGCAAATTTTTCTTAACAGCAATATATTCAAATGTTGATATGCTGTTACATTGTTAAGTCCCATTATTTCACAATTTAATATTATATACATTACATACTCAAATTTTCAGTCTGGCACAGCACATTAGCAAAGTTACTAGGAAAACTGGACCAAATCCAAGATGTTACAGAGGGCACAAAATTCTGACAGGGAGAGGCAAGATCAAGGAGTGGTCTTCTTTAGGAATCAATTCTGTCAAAAACAACATTGGAATAGAAGTAATTTAAGATGTTCAAGACCTAGTAAACTCATGACTGACTCCAAATTGCCATTTAGTATGCTTGGCATTATAGGATATAAAAACTACCCCATCTATGGAATGTTAAACTGACACCCAAGATAATCAAAGCATCCCGTATTCAATATCCCACTATTTTCTGGTTGTACCGAAAAATAAAAATTAACAACTAGCAAATGATTTCACCTTTTTAAAAAAGCATTTACACTTAAATAATGGTATGAGGTGGGATTCCCTCCTTCCTAAAAATGTTTGTGGAGCTACTAAAGAACTTGGGTTCACAAAATAGTTAATAAAAATATTCCTCTGGATTGCATACGTAGGGAGACAGGGACCACTACTAATAAGACATGGTATATGATATTAATCAGACTTGGCTTCTTTCTCTCCTGCTTCATCAGAGGCTAGACTCCCCTCATTTTCAGTTTTTCCATTTTCTGTAGGTAAGTTTCCTTTTGTTTCTTGGTTAGCCACTTTAACCTGTTTTCCCTTTGCTTTCCTTTTCCCCTTTACTTTTTTTTTGTCTGAAGATTTATCCTTTTCTTCCTCCTTTTTTGGCTTCTTTTCCACTTTTGTGGGTGCAGGTTTGGCTGACAGCCTCACCAGTTTCCTCTTGGGCTACTCCTTTGCCACCCCCTCAGTGGAGCTGACCTTCCTCTTGGGCATTGTGGCAGTAGGGTAGGTGCATGCTGGGTGCCTGCAGGTCACAGAGTGCTGAGAGCCTTTACAAAGTCGGGCTGCCTGGTTGCAGCCACTCCTCCCACACCCAAGCTGCTCTGACATACCCCAGATATTTTTGCTTTAGTTTGCATGGAATATCGTTTTTCAGTCCTTCACTTCAATCTGAAGTGAGTCTCTTATAGGCAGCATATAGGTAGGTCTTGTTTTTTTAATCTATTCTTCACCCTATGTCGTTAGATTGGAACATTTAGACCACTCACATTTAAAGTAATCCTTGATAGGGGTACCTGGGTGGCTCAGTTAGTTGCGCTTCTTCTGACTCTTGATTTCTGCTCAGGTCATGATCTTGAACCCCTCGTTGGGCCCTGCCCTGAGCATGGAGCCTGCTTGAGATTTTCTCTCTCCCTCTTTCTCTCTGCCCGTCTTGTGCATGCATGCGCTCTTTTGTTCGCTGTCTCTGTCTCTCTCTCCAAATAAACATTAAAAAAAAAAAAATTGTTGCTAGGTATGTGCTTAGCGCCATTTTTTTGTTAATTGTCTTCTGGTTATTTTGTAGTTTTTCTCAGTTCCTTTCTTGATCTCTTTCCCTGTGATTGAGAACTTTCTTTAGTGTTATGCTTGGCTTTCTTTCTCTTTTTTTGTGTATCTGTAAAGGTTTTTGGTTTGTGGCTACCATGAGTTTCATATTTGACATCCTAAGTGTAACAGTCTGTAGTAAGTTGATGGTCACTTAAGTTCAAACACATTTTGAGAGAACCTCATTTTTACTCCCACATTTTATGTATACGTTGCCATATTTTACATCTTTTTTATTTTGTTACTACTCTTAAGTAATTTTTTTAGGACATAATAGATTTTACTACTTGTGTTTTTTATTTTTTTAAATTTTTTTTTCAACGTTTATTTATTTTTGGGACAGAGAGAGACAGAGCATGAACAGGGGAGGGGCAGAGAGAGAGAGGGAGACACAGAATCAGAAACAGGCTCCAGGCTCTGATCCATCAGCCCAGAGCCCGACGCGGGGCTCGAACTCACGGACCGTGAGATCGTGACCTGGCTGAAGTCGGACGCTTAACCGACTGCGCCACCCAGGCGCCCCACTACTTGTGTTTTTTAACGTTCATACTAGCTTTATAAATGATTGCTGTACTAACTTTATGTTTGCTTCTATTTTTACTCTTGAAATTTTTTCCTTTTCTAATTATGGTCATTTCTTTTCCACTTAAAGTCCCTTCAACGTTTATTATAATACCAGTTTAGTGGTGGTGAACTCCTTTAACTTTTGCTTGTCTGGAAAACTATTATCTCTCCTTCAATTCTGAATGATAATGTTGTTGGGTAGAATATTCCTGGATGTAGGTTATTTACGTTTCAGCACTTTGTATATATCATGCCAGTCCCTTCTGGCCTGCAAAGTTGCTGCTTTTAAAATTCTTTATCTTTGATCTTTGATGATATTTTAATGGTATGTCATGTTGTGGACCTCCTTTGGTCCATCTTGTTTGGGACTCTGGTTGCTTTCTGTACCTGGATGTCTGTTTCCTTCCCCAGGTTAGGGAAGTTTTCAGCTATTATTTTTGTCAAATAAGTTTTCTGCCCCTTTCTCTCCTTTCTTTCTGGGACCTCTGAAATGTGAATGTATGTTTGCTTGATATTGTCCAAGAGATCCCTTAGCCTACCCTCATTTTGTAAAATTCTTCCTCTTCCTTTTCTTCTTCCTCCTCCTCGTCCTCCTTTTTTATTGCTATTCAGTTTAGGTCCTTTCTATTATCTTGTCTTCCAGTTTGCTGATTCATTCTTTTGCATCTTCTAATCTGTTGATTCCCTCTAGTGTATTTTTTATTTCAGTTGTTGTATTCTTTTTTTTAAGTTTACTTATTTATTTAGAAAGAGAAAGAGGAGAGAGAATCCCAACCCGGGTACATGCTGTCAGCACAGAGCCCCATGCAGGGCTGGATCCCAGGAACCGTGAGATCATGACCTGAGCTGAAATCAAGAGTCAGATGCTTAAGCCCAGTTTTTAAGTAATCTCAACACTCAACATGGGGCTCAAGCTTACAACCCCAAGGTCAAGAGTTGCATGCTCTACCAACTGAATGGCCAGGCACCCCTTGGGTGTGTTTTAATCTATGGCTATTTCTCATATAATTTTTAGGACAATTAGATAAGCAATTTTCATGCTGCTGTCCAGTGCTTTCCAAGTCATGTTTATAGTACAATAAGTAAATATTTGGAATAATAGTATGAAACCTGCAAGAAGCATATAAATGCAAATAATACTTTCTCATATTTGGAGAGGACACCAAATGCACCTTTTTGGTGATTTAAAACCAAAATAGGAAATAAGATTTAAATATATAAAATAAGCCAATCGCATTACTGATTTTGTCCTAAAAAGGACCACTTATCATATTATACATGTGACATTGTTATATCATTATATCTCCTTCCATCTAAGATACTTAAAAGTCGTTCCATAAGATTCCTAGTTTTGTAGTTCTTAACAAATCTGAGTATGTGGAAAATTCGTTGGGTGGAAAATACTGATAGTTCAGGCTCTGAAATCCAAGTGCTTGTACTGTATGTCATCTGATCTTGGTTAAGCTTTGTAACCTTCCCAGGCCCCAGTTTTCTCATCCGTGAAATGAATACAGTAAGATTTTCTACCTCAGAGTGTAGTCATGAGAATTAAATGGGATAATGTTTTTAAAATACTTAGCACAATACTGAGTAGTTCATTTGGTTACAGATACATTTTATAAATATTGTGTAAGTATTCTTCATATTCTTGAATCCTATCCATTCTTGAATTCCATAGAATAAGGACCAAATTCTGTAGTCTCTGTTATAAAGAGAGTTTGTTTCTGTTAGGTTTTTTATTTCACATTTTGCTGTTTATCTTTTCATACCTTCTCCCCATACTTTCAGGTCTTTGAACTTGTTTCTCCTTCCTAGAAGTTTTAAGTACAATGAAAATAACCATCCTCTTCACTTAAGAGTATGGGACTAAGAGTCATTTTTTGTGTGTGTGATACTTCTTTCAAAACCACTCTTCCTTCCCAACCCTCAATTTCCATAGCATTCTCTCTTGTTTCAAATATATTACTTATCTTTATGGTGTGGTAATTATTTTACTGCCCAGCTGTTTTCCACACTGGGTTTTCCTTGCTGAATAAATGATTGTTTCGTGATAAAAATGAATAGGAAATCACACAGCTGAGCTAGCTAGAACTTTGTGTAAAGTAAAAGCATATATGCTCTGATCCTTAAAGTGCACAGTCTGTAGGACATCTGTGTTGATTGTGTAGAGCAGTTTATGCTTACTTCTTGTTTTTCAACTTTCTTTGGAGAAAAAATTATCCCAGTTGAATAACTCCTCATTTGGATATTAAGATATGAGAAATTATGTCTAAGATGGGCACAATTTTATCTCTCCTTAAACTATACTGCCTGCTGCCGCTTAACTAGCGAACTATTCTTGTTCTGCTTAGCAAGCTTTTCAGATATAACATGTAGGAGAAAGAATCTCATGTGGATATACATATGCATACTTGCAGTTTGCAATGTGGGAATAACCCATACTTTCCTTTTGGAGAGGAAATACCAACATTTCAGCTATCAGCAGCATGACTGGTATGATGTTTGCTGTTATTTTGGAAAAGGGTTGAATTCAGAGAGGAAAAAGTAAACCCCATTAAAGGAAGAAAACTTTTTCTTCATTACGAGAAGAAAGTATATCTTCCACCAGAAGCAGCAGAAATTAAGTATGGTTCTAAGGACCTGGCACCTTTTTGGGATATGTAGGTAGCATAGTCCTTTCTTATTTTTGGACTCTATTGACAGGCTGGGAAAGATTCTAACTTAAGAGTAGGAGTTGTCCTATATGGTTAGAAAAAAATTTTAAATATTTTTAATGTTTATTATTTTTGAGAGGAAGAGAGACAGAGCGTGATCAGGGGGAGGGGCAGAGAGAAAGGAAGACACAGAATCCAAAGCAGACTTGAGGCTTATGGGTGTCAGCACAGAGCCCGACGTGGGGCTCGAACTCATGAACTGTGAGATCATGACCTGAGCTGAAGTCAGATGCTTAACTGGCTGAGCCACCCAGGGGCCCTGCTTAGAAATTTTTAAGTTGGTATTGGTGAAAATTGTCTGATAGCTTTCACCTACTCAGATTGTAGTACACACATTCATTTTTGCCTACCTCTCCTATAATCCTAGATATAAAAAAATTGCTAGGCATACCAAACTCTAACATTAGTTGAGAACAATTGGAAGCTTTTCATTGTAAAACCAGTAAAGCAGAAATACAGTGATAGAAGACCAGAACCAGAAAAACACACACTTTTCCTTAATACTCATGTTGTCTGAAATACAGCAAAATGGACTTTATAGGCATTGATTGATACAGGGAGGGAGGCTAGAAGTTTTGGAGAAAAGCAGGCATAGTAAAACATGGATTCTGTGGTTTAATCACCTATGTTTACATCTCAATTCATTATTTACTATGTTACTTGGGAAAATTACTTAAATTCCTTCTACTTCAATTCCTCACCTATAATATTCTTGGAACAGTGACTGACACAGTAAGCAATAAAATATTATTCCAAGCAAGGAATAGTAAATAAAATTTTTTTCAGTAGTCCTTAATTATGTAAGATACATGAAATTCCATTATAGTCTTTATTTAGAATGCTGTATTTGGTGTTTTATTTCAAACTTAAAAATGTTTAAAAGGATTTTTTAGGTTCTCTTATGATATGCAGCCCCTCTTACCCTGTTTTTCCCATGAGGTCTTAAAAGGTTTCAGCCACAATTTCTCCTTCCACAGTGTTTTTCAGGAACATAACTCTCAGATGGGGAAGTAATGATGAACCTAACAGCAAAAGTAGATGTACAGAGCAAGTAAGTTCCCTAACTAATGGAGTAACTGGCTGCTTCTCTTAGGTGTTAGAGTTGGGGACACAATGATGAACAAAACAAACATAACTTGCACCCTCACAGAGCTAACTAACATCTACTAGCTTTTACTTGGACTGAGTACTTAACCTTTGTGATCCTATAAAATGTAGATGATACCTATCTCATAGAATTGTTTGGATGGGTTTAAATGAGATAGTATTAAGAGAATGTAGTACAAGGTACTGGGACATGGTAAGTACTGAAATGTTAATTCCAGGGCCCCTGGGGGGCTCAGTCAGTTAAGCATATAACTTTGGCTCAGGTTATGATCTCGCAGTTCATGTGTTCGGGCCCCGGGATGGGCTCTCTGCTGACAGCTCAGAGCCTGGAGCCTGGTTCAGATTCTGTGTCTCCCTGTCTCTCTGCCTCTCCCTCACATGCTCTCTCTCTCAAAAATAAAAAAAAAAAAAACATTTTAAAAAGTTTTTTTAATGGGTACTATTGCAGTTGCACAACAAACAACTACTGGTATGGGAAGAATGTAGTGGAGCATGCCTTAAAACTTCTGTAATAGTCTTGTAATGAATTGTACTTGGAGTTTTTGATAATTTATAGTTTGGGAAGCTATAAAACTTGCTATTTATATATGTAAGTGGAAGTGCTGATAAGAACAAAATAATGGGTATTAAGTATTTAAAAATGTTTATCCTTTCCATAAAAATGGTTTCACAACTTTTTCTAAAACTATTTTAATAGCTTCGGTTGGTTTCAAATGCTTTATAGATATCAACTCATTTAATATTCTTATGAATTCTGTGAAATAGTCGCTACGATTTTTTATACTTTATAAATAAGGAAACTGAGGCAGAGAGATTAAGCATCTTGCCCAAAGCCACACTGGCTCTAAGTAGTAGTACTTGGATGCAGCTCCTAGAATCTGGTTTCAGAGTCCATGCCCTTTACCAGTATTTTATGCTGCCTCTAAAAGAAAAGAGTTTTTAAACATTGCCCCAGTATGCTCATTCTAAATACATCTCTCTTGCTCATTTATTCAATGGGACATTTGTATTTTATATTCTTTTAAAAAGCTGTCATGGATGCACTGGTAGAAGATGATATCTGCATTCTGAATCATGAAAAAGCACATAGGAGAGATACGGTGACTCCAATCTCAATATATTCAGGAGATGAGTCTGTTGCTTCACATTTTGCCCTTGTCACTGCATATGAAGACATCAAAAAACGACTTAAGGATTCAGAGAAAGAGAACTCTTTCTTAAAGAAAAGAATAAGATTTTTGGAAGAAAAGGTAATTATTATCTTTATTATATTTTATGACTTAAAGAATAATTTAAAATACTTGACATTTTAAATAGTTTTCTATCCTGTCTTCCATGGTTTACTAAATTTCCAAGAATAACTCACTTCTAATCTTAAAACCCTGGGCATACTGCATTTATCATACTTTACATATAATGTACATGATGAATATTTGTAGAATATTCAACTTGGAATAGCAATAACAACTTCCAAAAACAACTTGGAATAGATTTTTCTTTTTTCAGATTGCCGTACCTTCATAAACTGTGTTTTATTCAGCATGTTAATATGTGTGCAAAAAATTATATGCCAACAAAGGAAATTAAGTGTCAAAGGAGGAAGCTCCTGTAACATTATTCTAATATGTTTAAAAATGTCTTCACTAGAATTGACATACATCTTCTTTACCTGAACATTCTCTTTTGTTTTTCAACACACAGAATAATGCTTTCAACTGATAAATTAATGTCATCTGTTTACCTTTTTCATGCAGAAACCTGACACTCCTAAATGTTATAGAATATTTAAGCTTGATAGCTGATCCCATTATAAATCATCACATCTACTTGGCTTTGGATAGTGGAACTCTTCAAAGTTCCACTATAAGTTCCATATAAGTGGAACACTTATATTTTTGTTTTTGAGTTTTAAAGTTTTAACTTAGTTTTATGTTTCTTTGGATTAGATAATTTTATTTGTATTTTATGAACAGCAGCTTCGCCAAAGGGAAAGGAAATGGATTCTTAGCTGCCAAGGAAATGAATTATCTTGTTACAAAAACTGTAGGACGGGGCTTGGTAGAGTTTGATTCATCTAGGGGAAGTACAAGAAAGGAAGTCAGTTGTAAAAATCATGATTTCTTTGAATTCCTATGCATTTTCTTTAATGATAATCAAATAAATTTGTGATATACTGGGATCGAGTGAGAAAAGGTAACATTTTGGAGTTCATAGTTATGTTTATTTTTAAATTAAGTAGAAAAATGTGATTTGGTATAGTTAACATTGGAGATAGTTCTGTACTTTGTGACCAATAATCCTATTAATTTCTATTCTGGAATAATCTACTAAATGAACTAACACGTTTATTCTCTAAAAAGCCAAGTATACCTTCATTTCTCACTTTTTCTGATGATGGAAATGAAATACTACTGGCTTGGAAAACATCTTTGTACTATAAAAGAATGATGTAGTATTTTAGTATGATGAATTAATATATGCTATAAGACAGAAAACACTGATTAAAAGCATAAAGTAGAGCACTTTAAAAATACTTACCTGTATTTTTTTTCTTTCTTAATCAATAAAGCTTAATTGTTGGAAGTGAAATGTTTTATTTAATTATAGTCCAGGCTTTATCCCTGCATTACAAAAAAAGTAAGGTGTAGAGTCATCAGAAGACTGGCTTCTTTGTGTGTGTGTGTGTGTGTGTGTGTGTGTGTGTGTGTGTGTGTGTGTGTGTGTATAGAATTCCTTCTTAAGCTTTCTCTTCTAATTTCATTCTCTTAGCTTATAGGAGCTCGATTAGATGAAGAAACAAGTTCTGTGGGACGTGAACAAGTAAATAAGGCCTATCATGCATATCGAGAGGTTTGCATTGATAGAGATAATTTGAAAAGCAAATTGGATAAAATGGTAAGTTGGTTTAAAAAGAATATCTATATATTGGGAATGAGTTTCTTCTTCAGGAAGCTTAAAATTAGAAATAAATATTTATATTTATTAAATTAAAAATTGAAAATATACATGCTCAGGGCAAAAATAGCAATTTTTAATAGTAATATTTATAACTTATTTCTGTGCAAAATAAATACTTTGTATGTAATGATGTTTAGGACTTAAATATGTCTAACGCCACTAACTTATTTTTAAAAATCATGACATAGTAGGATTTGTCAATGTTTTAAAAATGAAAAGAAAAAAAGCCAGTGAATAATATCCTGTTTGAAAAGCAGAGAGATTAGCGAAAAACTGGGTTCATTTTCCCACCTCACTTTTTAAAAGGCCTGAATCGGTTTTTTTCATCTACCTGAAAATTAATATATATCAAGCTACAGATTATACCAAATGTAATTTGGCATTTTCCCTACTTAACTAGAATAAAGACAACTCTGAATCTTTGAAAGTATTGAATGAACAGCTACAATCTAAAGAAGTAGAACTTCTCCAGCTAAGGACAGAGGTGGAAACTCAGCAGGGTATGCCACTTATTTGTTACAAATGTTATAATGGAATCAGTACAGTTTTCCATTTATGTGTTATATCCATTACCAGTTTTCTTTATCTGTATGCTAAGGCCTTAACTTATTTTATAATTTTAGGCTTACGTTAATTTCTCTGATCTGCTTTCACAAAATATCAACCCCTTTTAACTTTTCCTTAGATATAAATTGCACTTTTCCTAGAGAAAATTTGATGGTTTTTATTCAGGGCTAGTTTGTGATGAAGTAGATGAAGAAAGGAGTAGAACCCCATCCTTGTCAAAACGTCTTGCCTGCTGGTATGTCCTGGCTTTTCCTTTCTAATGAACTTTTGCCTGCTATTAGACGCCTGTCATGGAGTAGTTACAATTCCTTTTTTTTTTTTTTTTTTTTAATTTCTGAAGGCTGTTAAAATGTGCAGATGCAATGCTAGAGTGAAAAATTAGTTATGGAACAATATGGGTATTGGCCTGTTCCCATAAACATTCTGATGAGCCAAACTGAAGAGTAGTCCTCTGAGGGAGACCTTTTGATAGGAGATTGAGATGAGCTCTCTTATAATAGCTGGTTGGGGATTTTTCTAGGTAGGGAGTCTAAAGCATTTAGTCAAGAGTAAGTCAGTATACAGTTGTATTGAGTTTCTGCAGTGGAATGTTCATCAGTAAATCATTTTGACATCATGTTCTAGGCCTTATGGTCAAACTCTCTAGGGGGACTAGATGGAGTGATTAGCTATGTGAGCTTCAGTTTCCTCACTTCATTTACTTTTATCACTGTCTTAACCTTGACTTACATAGGTAGATTATTGACTTGTCTACAATTTGATTAGTGTCGTATATTTTAAAGTTCCAGACTTACAAACTTGTACTTTAATGTAAATAGAAAATCAGGGACAGGGATGATTAATACATTTTAAAACAAGATTGGCAGGTTTTATATTCTCATTAGCATAGATCTTTGAACGTAATTATTGTTTTTTAAAAACTTACTTGTGCATGTTTTATATTAGTTTTTGTATTATGTACATTTTACTATGGAATTGCAACAAATGTCGAAGGCAGAAATAACCATTTTAACGTCTATCCTTTTTTTAGTGATAAGGAATTTAAATCCACCTTCATCAAACTGGGAGGTGGAAAAGTTGAGCTGTGACCTGAAGATCCATGGTTTGGAACAAGAGCTGGAACTGATGAGGAAAGAATGTAGTGATCTCAAAATACAGCTACAGAAAGCCAAACAAATGGTACTACAGAATTATTAAATTGAGAAGTTCAGTATTCAGTACTGTGTACTATTCAGTACTATTTGTAGGATTTGTAACTAAGGATTAAATTGTAGAGTTAACTTATATTGTTGCTACTTAGAGAGTTAAAGTCTCTGAAAAATTCACCTTTATCTTCCATTTTAGCCATTTGGTGTAAAATTTGATATACTGTATACTTCTAGCATAATCCCAGAATTTATAATTTTGTTTTAAAAAGCTCACTTAAAAAAACCTTAGTTTATTAATTTATTAAAGCTATTCTTTTAAACTCCTTTTCTTCAGTTTCCTTAAGTCATTTTTTTCTGTAAAGCTTAAAGAGAACTCAAGTTTTAAGTTTATCGTTTTGTTTAATAATTTGATTAATGTAGACACTACAAGATACAACTTAATTTTTAGGATTCTTTTTTAAGAAGGAAAAACTTGTCTAATAATTTTTAGAAGTTTAATACTTTTGGGACAACTTTAATTTTTAGCAAATAGCCGAGGCTGTAAGAATTGGGAAAAAGCAAAAACGAAAAGCCCCGCTGAGCTGCTAAAGTACAGTTAGCCTCAAGTCATCCACTAAAACACAAGTTGCCTCTCAGGTCCTCACCTAATCTGTTTACCAGAACTTTACATTGGGTTCTAACAAACTTGATTACAAGGTTAGATGTCATGACAGATAGTACTGAATAGAAAAAGAAGAAATAATAAGAGTGTGAGAGCACATGCACCATATGCAAAATAGTTGTTACAAATAATAGCCAAACTATGGAAAGAGCCCAAATGTCCATCAACTGATGAATGATAAAGAAGAGGTGGTATATATACACAATGGAATATTACTCAGCCATCAAAAATAATGAAATCTTGCCATTTGCAATGACATGAATGGAGATAGAGTGTGTTATGCTAAGCCAAGTCAGAGAAAGACAAATACAGTATCATATGATTTCACTTGTATGGAATTTAAGAAATAAAAGATGAACGTGGCGGTGGGGTGGGGAAGAGAGGGAAACAAACCATAAGAGACTTTTAAGTATAGAGGACAGGTTGACGGTTGATGGAGGGTGACAGGTCAGCTAGATGGATTATAGTTATTAAGGAGGGCACTTTTAATGAAGGGCACTGAGTGTTGTATGTAAGTGGTGAATTACTAAATTCTGCTTCTGAAACCAATATTGCACTGTGTGTTAACAATTTAAATAAAAATTTGGGAAAAAAATCTTAACAAAATTATTGTTACAGAAATTGTAAAGGTTAGTAGTCTAGAGTCAAACAACCGTTATATACATTTATGTATTTTAAATAAGTTAACCAGTTAGATAATTATTTCTCATCTTAACCATTTTGCCCATCAGAGCATTCTAACTCCATTGAGGAGCTGTGTCACCTACCCCTGGTTCCTCTTGGGATGCCAGTAACTGATAAGGGAACTACTTCCCATACTTCCTGACTGCCAGCCAGCATGCTTCCCCTGAATCCCAGCTGTCCTTAAATGGAACTGATAGTTCTCTCTTCTGTAATGTAGTCTTTATTGAATGTGACCACCACTTGAGGATGAGCCAGGCATTAAGAATAATACAGCATTCCACCTTGGCCTTGGCCAAATGAATTCCTCTGAACTGGCAATGAGAACTTGCTTTCAAGCCCCCAGGCCTGAGAAAGGTGAAATACCACAGAAATTAACGTCAGTTCCTGTTGAGCAAAATGCTTTTTTTCCTACTTGACATCTGAAGTTAACCACTGCCATACCTTTGAACCTGTGATTACATACCGTAATTTCTTCAAAGGCCTCAAGCATCCTGTCCTACAAGCTTAGGTGCCATAGCCCCTGAAAAGCTAGCTAGATGGCTGCCTGACTGCTATGGTTGCTTGTTTATTTATATATGTTTTTTAATTTTATGTTTTTTTTTTTTTAATTTTTTTTCAACGTTTTTTATTTTTTGGGACAGAGAGAGACAGAGCATGAACGGGGAAGGGGCAGAGAGAGAGGGAGACACAGAATCGGAAACAGGCTCCAGGCTCTGAGCATTCAGCCCAGAGCCCGACGCGGGGCTCGAACTCACGGACCGCGAGATCGTGACCTGGCTGAAGTCGGACGCTTAACTGACTGCGCCACCCAGGCGCCCCTAATTTTATGTTTTAAAAATTTTTAATTTCAGTATAGTTAAGATACAATGTTATATTAGTTTTAGGTGTACAATACAGTGATTCAGCAATGCTATACCTTACTAAGTACTCATCATGATAAGTGTACTCCTAATTTTCTTCCCATATTTAACTCATCCCTACCCCTTTTGATAATCGTCTATTTGTTCTCTATGGTTAAGAGTCTGTTTTTGGTTTGTCTCTTTTTTTCTTTGTTTATTGGTTTTTTAAATTCTACCGTGAGTGAAATCATATGATATTTGTCTTTCTCTGACTGGGTTATTTCGCTCTGCATCATACTCTCTAGATCCATCTATGTTGTTGCAGAAGGCAAGATTCTCTTTTATGACTGAGTGATAGTCCATTTTATGCATGCACACACACACACACACACACACACACACACACACACACATCCTCTATCCATATATTGATGTACACTGGGGCAGCTTCCATATCTTGGTTATTGTAAATAATGCTGCAATAGACATAGGGGTGCATATATCCCTTCCAATTAGTGTTTTCATATTCTTTGGGTAAATACCTAATAGCGGAATTACAGAATCATACGGCAATTCTGTTTTTAATTTTTTGAGGAACCTCCATAGTGTTTTCAAAGTGGCTACACCAGTTTGTATCCCACCAGCACATATGAGGGTTCCTTTTTCTCCACATCCTTGCCGACACTTGTTTTTTATTTTAGCCATTCTGACAGGTGTGAGGTGATACCTTATTATGGTTTTGATTTGCATTTCCAAATGATGAGTGATGTTGAGTATCTTTTCATGTCTGTCGGTCATCTGGATGTCTTTGGAGAAATGTCTGTTACTACCTTTTGCCCGTTTTTAATTGGATTATTCCTTCTCATGTTCATGTGATGTATCATGTTGATTGGAAAATATTGAACCACACTTGCATCCTAGGAATAAAATCTAGTTGATCATGGTGAATGATTTTTTTAATGTATAGTAGGATTCCTTTTGCTAGTGTTTTGTTAAGGATTTTTGCAGTTGTGTTCATCAGCAGTATTGGCCTGTACTTCCCTTTTTTGTGTAATGTCTATCTGGTTTTGGTATCAGGGTAATGTTGGCCTCATAGAATGAATTTGGAAGCTTTCTTACTTTTATTTTTTGGATTAGTTTGAGAGAAATAGGTATTAATTCTTCTTTAAATGTATAATAGAATTCGCCTCTGAAGCCATCCGGTCCTGGACTTGTGTTTGTTGGGAACTTTTTGATTAATTATTCAATTTCATGGCTGGTAATTGGTCTGTTCAAATTTTCTTTTTCTCCTGATTTCAATTTTGGGAGGTTGTATGTTTCTAGTAATTTCTCCCATTTTTTTCTAGGTTTTCTAGTTTGTTGGCATATTATTTTTCATAATCTCTTACAATCCTGTGTATTTCTGTGGTGTCAGTTATTTCTCCTGTTTTATGTCTGATTTTGAGTCTTTTTTGTTTTTTGGTTTTTTTGGTGAATCTTGCTGAAGGTTTGTCAATTTTGTTGGTCTTTTCGAAGTACCAACTCCTGGTTTTCTTGATCTGCTCTGTTGGTTTTAGTTTTTAGTTTCTAATTAATTTGTTTCTGCTCTAATCTTTATTATTTCCTTCCATCTACTGGTTTGGGGTTTTGTTCTCCTTTTCAACTCTTTCAGGTATCAGGTTAGGTTGTTTGAGATTTTTCTTGCATTATCAGGTAGACCTGTATTGCTATAAATTTCCTTATTAATACAATAGCTTTTGCTGAATCCAAAAGATTTTGGGCTGTTGTATTTTCATTTCCATTTGTCTTCATGTATTTTTGGCTGCTTCTTTGATTTCTTAGTTGACCCACTGATTGCTTAGTAGCATGTTATTTAACCTCCATGTATTTTGGTTTTTGCAGATTTTCTCTTGTGGTTGATTTGTAGTTTCATAGTACTGTGGTTGGAAAAGATGCATGCTGTGTCTTCAGTCTTTATGAATTCGTTGCACTTATTTTGTTGCCTGATATGAGATCTATTCTGGAGAATGTTCCATGTGTATTTGACAGGAATTGTGTATTTTGCTGTTTTAGGGTGGAATGTTCTGAATATATCGGCTAGATCCATCTGATCCATCGTGTCATTCAAAGCCACTGTTTCCTTGCTGATTTGCTGTTTGGATGTTCTATCCATTGATATAAGTGGAATGTTAAAGTTCCCTACTATTGTATTACTGTTGATTACTTCCTTTATGTTTGTTGTTATTTGCTATATGTATTTGGGTGCTTCCATGTTGAGTGCATAAATATTTACAATTCTTACTGTAATTGTTCCATTTATGATTATATAGTGTTCTTTTCCTGTTCTTTTTTTAAAAAAATTTTTATGTCTATTTATTTTGAGAGAGATCCAGACAGTGTGAACAGGAGAGGGGAGGAGAGAGAGAGAAAGAGAGAAAATTCCAAGCAGGCTCTGCACCATGAGTGCAGAGCCCAACACGGGCTCGAACCCATGAAACAGTGAGATAGTGACCTGAGCTGAAACTGGGAGATGCTTAACCGACTGAGCCACCCTGGCACCCCATGTCTTTGTTTAAAAGTCTATTTTATCCCATAAAAGTATTGCCAACCTGGCTTTTTTTTTCCCTGCCACCATTTGCATGACAAATGCTTTTCCATCCCTTTACTTTCAATCTGCGTTTGTCTTTAGTTCTGTAATGAGTCTCTTGTAGGCAGCATATAGATGGATCTTTTCCTTTTTTATCCATTCCATCACCTAATGTCTTTTGATTGTACCATTCAGTCCATTTATATTCAAAGTAATTATTGATAGGTATGTACTTATTGCCATTTTATTACTTGTTTACGGTTGTTTTTATAGTTCTACTCTGTTACTTTCTTCTCTTGCACTCTCCTGGTTTGCTGACTTTCTGTAGTCCTATACTTGGATTCCTTTCTCTTTACATTTTGCATATCTATTAGTGGGTTTTGAGATTTGTGGTACTATTAGGTTTGCATGTAACATAACATTTTATGCAGAATTAAGTTAGTGGTCACTTAGGTTTCAATCCAGTATTTATTTCTCTCCACCTCATGTTTTAAGTAAATGGTGTCATACTTTACATCATTCTATTTTGTGAATCCCTCGGCTGAGTTTTATAGATATAAATTTTACTGTTTTTGTGCTCCTTTTATTATTCCTCCTAATGGTCTTTCCTTTCCAAAGTGTCCCCTTTAACTAAGTTTCTTGTAGGGTTGGCTTAGTGGTGATGAATTCCTTTAACCTTTGTTTGGGAAACCATTTATCTCTTCTATTCTGAATGATATCTTTGCTCTGTAGCGTATTCTTGGCTGCAGGGTTTTTTCTTTCAGCACTTTTAATGTATCATGCTACTCCCTTCTGGCCTGCACACTTTATGGTGAAAAATCAGCTGGTAGCCACATGGGGTTTCCCATGTATGTGTTTTCTTTTGCTGCATTTAAAATTCTCTATCACTGCCTTTTGCCATTGTCATTATAATGTGTCTTGCTTTGCACCTCTTGGCTAGATTTTATTGGGGGCTTTATGTGCCTCCTGTATCTGGATTTTGGTTTCTTCCCTCAGATGCAGGAAGTTTTCAGCTTCCCAAATTTATTTCTTCAAATAAACTCTGTCCCCTTTTCATTCTCTTCTTGTAGCATCCCTGTGATTCAAATGTTATTACACTTGATGGCATCACTGAATTCCCTAAATCTGTTTTCATTTATTATTATAATTTTATCTTTCTTCTCTTCAGCTTGATTGCTTTCCATTACTCTGGCCTTCAGTTCGCTCATCCTTTCTTATTTTCTGGTGCACTGTTTCGTCTAGTACATTTCTAATTTCAGTTACTGAGTTCTTCATCTCTTAAGGTTTATATTTTTATGGTTTCTATCCCTTTTGTAAGGGTCTCACTGAGGTCTTCCACTCTTCTCAAGTCTAGTGAGTATCTTTATGACCATTATTGTAAATACTCTACCACGCATATTAATCTCTGTTTTGTTTAGGTCTCTTGCTATGATCTAGGCCTTTTCTTTCTTTTGGGGCATAATCCTCTGTCTCTTAATTTTGTTTGTTTCTATGTCTTAGGGAAGTGAGCTATGTCTCCAGCTCTTGAAATAGTGGTGTTATAAAGACGAGGTCCTGTGGTGCCAAGAAGTACAATGTCCCGTGTTCACCAGAACACAGATCAGGCGCATCTCCTGTGTGTGCTCCTTACTGTTTGGGCCAAGACACTTTTGCCTTCAGTCATCTGCAGTTGCCTTCTTTGCCTCTTGTGGGAAGGGTCTGGTCCCTCTGTTAGTGGGCCAGTCTAGGGCCACCTTGGGGCTTTGGTCAAGGCAGACCAGGCTTTTCCCAGAGATGCAGTAGCACTGAACTTCAGGGTACTTTCCCTGTATTGTGTCTTAAGAAGCTTTTGTTGGTGGGTAGGCCCTGTAGTTAGACCAGATGTCTACCCCCCACTCACTGCTCCAGCTGCAGCCAGTCTGGTGTCTGTGTGGTTATTTTCCCGTCTCCCCAGGACAGGAGTCACTTTTGGAGTGGTGCTGGCCCCTCCCAGGGCTGCCTGCACAGTGCCAGGGTTTTACCACTTTGGATGGGTTCTGGCCAAGGGCAATATTGAAAGGAGCAGATCCATAGGAGAATGTTGGGGCACAGCATATGGTGTTAGCACAGTTTTAGCGGGAGAGGTCTACAGTGGGAGGGGAGCTGGAGCTGCTTTTGAAAACTGCTTTCTGGCTGGTGGGGGTGAGTCCCCAAGAGAGTGTGGGGGGCAGTATATTTAGTGCCAGCAAGGTCTGTGCTGGTCGGTTGTGGGAGGGTACCTGCTGCTGCCCAAAACTATGGAAGCTGGTTGGGTTGGAGAGGGCAGAACTGCAGAAGCGTGGGGCATGCTGTTAGCCAGGTGGAGAGGGTGCTGCACTGGTCCTGCACGTGTCTGTGTAAATAGGGTGGGGGGCCAGGGAGAGAAGCACCCACCAGCTCCTTTCTTCTTTGAGAAGTCTCCCAGCGATCCCTGCTACTCTAGCACATGCTCTAACATGAGTCAGCTAATCTCTCTCCCATATACCTGAAGCATTTTTCACAGTGCTGCTTCAATACTGTGTCTTCTCGGGGTTCATTATTGCTGTCCCTTCAAGGGCGGGGATTCTGTTTCCTCTGCCCTCCCCTCCCTCCCAGAGCTGAGCTCATTGATTTGTCAAGTCCCAGGTGTTAAGCCCCACTGATTGTAAGAACTTGGGAAATTAGGCCTCTCTGGTTTTCAAAGCCAAATGTTACAGGGATTCTTTGGGGATTTGTCTTCCCTGTGTGTGTTCCCCATGCCTGGGGTGCCTAGTGTGAGAGTGAGTCTTTTTCTTTCTCCATGCCTGCAATGTTCCTCCCTCCTTCAGATAGACCCATGGGTCCATTTAGCTCCAGATGGCCTCTCTGCTCTTCCTACCTCTTCAGTATGGTCTCTTCTTTACCTTTTGCTGTGGAGAATCTGTTCTGTCATCCCTCAGGTCATTTTGTGGGTTATTTACACTGATGTGGATGTTATCTGCTTGTATCTGTGGAACAAGGTGAGCTTACGATCCTCCTACTCTGCCATCTTTTTTATTTTTTTTTTTAATTTTTTTTTTTCAACGTTTATTTATTTTTGGGACAGAGAGAGACAGAGCATGAACGGGGGAGGGGCAGAGAGAGAGGGAGACACAGAATCGGAAACAGGCTCCAGGCTCTGATCCATCAGCCCAGAGCCCGACGCGGGGCTCGAACTCACGGACCGCGAGATCGTGACCTGGCTGAAGTCGGACGCTTAACCGACTGCGCCACCCAGGCACCCCTCTGCCATCTTTTTTAGAGGCTTCTTTTAAAAAGATATGCTTGCAAGAAAGGATCTGTACTTTGTAGCTCTGAATTATTATTGTCAGTAAATGGATTTGCCTTGAAAGGAAATTGATAGCTTTTTACATAATGGATATTTCCTTACTGAGTAGAAAACAGTACCATGGCATTATAAAAACGTGGCTCGGGGCGCCTGGGTGGCGCAGTCGGTTAAGCGTCTGACTTCAACCAGGTCACGATCTCGCGGTCCGGGAGTTCGAGCCCCGCGTCAGGCTCTGGGCTGATGGCTGATGGCTCAGAGCCTGGAGCCTGTTTCTGATTCTGTGTCTCCCTCTCTCTCTCTGCCCCTCCCCCGTTCATGCTCTGTCTCTGTCCCGAAAAAAAATTAAAAAAAAAAAAAAAAAAAAGTGGCTCATAATTACGGTGTTGCTAATTATTATGTAAAATTAGGAACATCATTTAATTCTTCTGAACATGTTTTCTGTAAAGTAGACTTTTAAATACTGTTTTTTTCATGAAGGTTAGATAATATGTAACATGTTTTGCATAGTGCTTAGTATATAGTATATTTAATAAGTGAATGTATTTCAAAAAAACTTAAGGTAATCCAGAAAAGCAATACTCTTAAGGGTGTGTGTGTGTGTATGAGATAGATCAATTCTTATTAGTTACTCTTTCCACTAGATGGTGCTAGGGGATAAATTTAGTTAATTCATCATAAATCATAGAAACATTTAAAAGTAGAAGAAACTTTAGAAATCACTTTTCGCTTACTGCTGAAATGGTATCTGAAGGACTAAGAAACTTATGACTTTAAGATGAATTAAAAGGATTTTTTTTTTTTTCTAATTTAAGACTTGGTCCTTGACCTTCATAAGAATTTATTTGGCAGGGGGAGGGGAGATTTAAAACTAAAAAAAAAAAAAAAATGGTCACAACTAAGGTAAAGATATCAACCAGGAATAGGAATAGTGGAATGCTTAATGCAAATTTATCAGAGGTTCCAAGTTGAAATCAAAAGCGTGAAATAGCATCCCTATGTTGACATAATGGTGAGGGGTTTTTGTTTTTGTTTTTTACTCAGTTGACTACTGTTTGGTATTAATGAGGTCAAGGTTCCAGGGTGAGTTCCACTATGGCCCTTTTAGACTTTTCTATATCCCCCAATATTCCAGTCATTTATATTTAGAAAAGTTGATCCTTTGGGACCAGGTGAAGACACTAGAGCCAAAGAAGTTTAGAAAACACTGGATATGTAAAATGGAGTTGGTATAGAGGACTAAAGTACCTAATAAGAACCCATTTAGCTATTCATTATGTGCTATTGTATACCAAAGGTTTTGAGAAGTTCTATAGCATAGGAATTTGTTTAACTTGAACAGTGTTTCCCAATGTTTTGTAGCCATGGGCCCCTGTATATGTGAAACTCCCACATCATAAAGAACTAGTTTGGGAAACAGATCTATACTTCTTAACAATTATAACTTTAAAACTTTATTTTTAAACAAATGACAGGATCCATCTCAGGAAGACAATCTGAATAGCAGTGATCTCCAAAGACTGAGCATTTCAAGGTATGAACATTCTTCAAAATTCAAAAATAACACATTGTATAGGTTACCTAGATTTCTGTTGTGATTTAACTTTAAAAAAGAATGGATACTATTTGGGTACTGCATGTAATCTCTGATCACAGTGGATTTATAAAAAACATTTAACTGTTCAGCAGTAGGTTTGAACTTTAGTAGAAAAGTGCATATTGTGATGCTTTAAACAAAATTTTGAACACTTTTAGATTTTTAGGGAGCTGTGTAGAAAGTATTCTGTCTGTAATAAATCCTGGTTTGTACCTGAAGAATTATACATTTCCATATACGGTAACTCCGCCTTAAGGGCAAATTTGGACCACCTTAGTCTTTCGCATAACATGAATTTTAAAAGAACTATCCATTTGGGGTAAAAACAAAAGTAGCTATCAGAATTCATATGTTACTTTAACCCTTTTTTCTTAAATATATGTCATTTTTACTTGAGTAACAAGTACTGTGTTTTAAATTATCTGATTTTAGCATCTCTTCTCTAGAAGGATACTTTCATCCAATGAAAAATAGTGAGTTGACTTCATTGCTTGATCATTTGGCTTCCAAAGTTTACTGAGCAAAAGCGAGTAATGTGAAATGGCTCATACCTATTCCTATCAAAACCTAATTGAAAGAAATGATCAAGTAGGGCAGAATTTGAGGATTGCAGCCAATCTTCTAGATTCAGGGGTAGGCAAACTTTTTCTTTATAGGGCCAGGGTATTTTAGGCCTTATGGGTTATAACAATTACCATAACAATTGGAATTAATAAACTCTGCCATTTGAACAGTTATTCAGTTATGCCTTGAAGTTTCATCCAGCTTTATAGCAAGAAGTTTTTCCTTTTTAAACAGTGTGTCTAGTTCAGTATCCATGTAAATTTTCTCAAAGTTGTCTTTTTTTTTTTTTTTTATCAAAGTTACCTTTTCTCCTGCCAACCTAGGTTTCCCTTTGTTATATTTATCATTTTTTATAAGCCTCTTCAAACCATTTTTGGAAAGAATCAGGGAACAAAAAATATGTTAGAATCAGAGTAGGTCAAAGGGGCTGTGTATAGTGTATTAGAAGTACATGATATAGAAGGAGACTTCTTCCATTCATGGGAGATTTTACATAAATTTGGATCACATCTACTGAGAATAACTTGAAAACTGGTCCCCAGAAATGTCTTTGAAGACCTCATATACCTAACAACATAGTAAAGAATATACCAGGATTTAGAGGAGGATGAAGGTCCAAAGAGGTGAGTCAACCTTTTGAGGCTACCAGGTTATATATATATAACTGGCTTCAAAGTACACTTTTGAATTCTCTAAACTTCAGTATTAATTCAGAGTATCAACTGAGCGAAACAGTTTTTATAAAGAATTACCGCAGCTCTAAAAGTTCTTAGCTCTAAAAGTTACTTGTATGCTAAAAGAACTGTATGATTAAAGCATGTTCTAATGGCTCCCTAATGCTGAAATTGTATGTACAGCTTTTTACAAGTTGGTTTGCATTTATTTTATGTAAGCAATATGGATTGCCAAAGTGATCAGGTTTCCCTCTTCTGGTTTGTTTACCCTTGGTAAACTCTATCATTCAATTATACATTAGCCTCATTCCTAGCTGCATTTTATCTTGTTTTTCCTTTGCCTTACCATGTACATGATATAAACCTATTTCTAGTTTATAGTCAGTACTATGTTTTATTAATATTTGTAAGTTACCTCATCACTTTTAAGTAGAACAATTCAGATTTAAGTTTATTACATTAGCAAAAAAGTACATACGAATGTTTCCATAAAACCTTTAAGTACAATTTTACATATTTTTAGGGATGATTTTCAGTTATTTATAAAGCCCCCTTTCTGGGAACACTCTTTTTTCATATTTCCTCCATCATACTGCTAGGCAAATGAGGTACCGTACTATTTCCCTAACATAATTACTGGAGGCCTTTACTGTATACAGCATCTTTTAATAATTACAGTCCTATCAGAAATTTGGCCAGTTTCTTACCAGTGTTCATCTGGTGTTAGCTTTAGGTTGTTGCACTCAGTACTTAAACAGATCTAGGTATGGGGTAAACTGGAATTGTGAAGTTCTTAAGAAATTGAAAATATAGAAAATATAGATTGTTTTTCAAATTGTGCCGTGTTCCCTTAGTAATTGTGAAATTTGTGAGTTAAGTATTTATACAAACACTGAATAAAACAGAACAGAACATACCAGAGTGTGTTACACATAATAAGGGCAATAAGTATGGTTTGTTATAACTTGGTTGTTTGGGTTGCAGAGTAAATTGATTCCTTGCTGTGCTTCACAATCAAAAATGTCTGAAAGACAGTTGATTTTGGGGAATCACAGTGTCAAAATGTAAATTTCTAAGTCTTTAGCTCTTGGGTAAGATGCTCATACTTTGATTTTAGTTCTTCTGGGTGATATAAAAGTAAATTTTCAGAAGCTAAAGAAAAATATGTATGGGTGAAGTAAAAAAGTTGATTTTTCTTATACGAGGAATATTCCTTTTGTATTGAAGAGTTGAATGTATATTGTCAACTAAGAAAACTGGGCTTTTACACAGTTTATAAGCAGGGCATGTATCTCCTTGCAATGTGGCTAAGCAGGTTTACTTACATTTAAAATTTAGAGGGTTGAGATTTTATACTGGGGCTAAGAAGATTGTGTTGGTAGTGAGTATATTGGAGGTGCTTGGTAAATGTCTAATGAAGATGATGGTGATTATGATATTAAAAAATGTTACTCAAAATGGCAGCAGACAGTCATTAGACTAGATGATTAAAAGATGACTTTGATCAGCAACATGTTAGCGTATGGAGTAAGTTCTCCTGAACCTGTTTCCTCACATGGAAAATGTGGTTACCCAGTTTGCCAAGTTGGTGTGATAACATGGGAGAAATGCTCAACCATCATTATTTTGTTTCACCTATTTTATTTTTTTAGGGTTCTCATTTGGGATGCTTTAGTGTTGTACCTCAGTGTTCAAATAGTTTTATAATTTCTTTATACGTGAAAAAAAAATATGTGTGTGTGTGTGTGTCTATGTCATTTAAAGCAAAACTTAACTAACTTCACACTCCTGGTTGGGGGTGTGGGAGGTGAAGTCTGACTATATAATCTCAAAAATAATCTAGATGAATGACGGTTAGTTGGAACTCTGCTAAAGACTTGTGGATGACAACTTGCCTCTTCCAGTCTCACTTAAGTGATGATTTAAATATTCTGTACAAGTAGAATTAAAAATAAATTTTTAACACACTTTGAAGACTATAGCACTTTAATATTTACTGTAAAGTGACTGTCATTGCTTTGTTATCCACAAGAGGGAGAGCTTACACTTAGTAATTTAGACTTTTTTTTTTTTTTTTTAATCTGTTTTTAATTCATATGACTTTAAGGGCAAAAAGACTTAGATGTATGTTAAAGTTGGCAACCTAGTTTTTAGTTTAACCTAGTTTATAAGCAGTCTTCATTGAATTGGAAAATGTATATTAGACACTGCTTTAACACTTGTTATAATTATCTATCTTTTATTTTACATGCTTAGCTAGTTTGAATGATTAAATGTGAACGTTATTCTAGGATCCAAACACAGTCTTGGGTATTTGCTTTGCTTTTCTCCAAGTCAGGTACTGATTTACCATCTCATGACAATAATTAAACACTGTTTTTAAACTGTATATTCATATCATGACTGTCTGCATGAATTAGCACATGTAGCACTTACACTTACTGCTATGTAATGTGAGTAACTCTTTGGAAAGCATACTGAATGCCCAGAACTGCAACAAGGAACCAACAACCCTTCACACTTAAGACAGGTTCCTATGTGAAACATTCACTGTAGCATACATCTCAGATGTTTACTGGTGAAGTAAAGTGGTTAACTAATTTTTGTGAAGTAATTATTTCACACTTACCAAAAACCTGCAAAAAGCCTGTGATTTTTAATAGACTGCTGTTTGACAAATCACGTTTACAATAGATTAAAACATGCAGATTTTTTCCAAAAGCAGTATAAAGTGTATTCTGCTTCTGTTGAAAGAATTGTGGTTGGTTGGAGTGGAATAGAAAGAAATATCTTGACAAAAAAGGTATGTAACCTTACATTCCATATAATTGTTTTTTAGTAGATCTGTTCCTTCGTAATTAGAATAGGAGGTTAGATGTAGATACCAAGATATTATCCCTTGGTTTAAAGGTTTTTGTTTACAGCTAGATAAAAATTGAAGCATAAAGTAACATTTTCTAATTTGGTACTTGTTATTAAACTTACACCAATATCTTTAAAAGGCAATAATGGTCATTTGAATACTTTGAGATCAGTTCTTATACTTAATATTTTACATATTCTTGTATAACATAGTAAGAATATGTATTGAAGATTTCAGTTTAGTTGGCAATTAAAAACCTAAGAAAGAAAATCATGAATATCCACATAATATTTAATGGAAGAATGAAACTTTTACAGATTAGGTTTAAAATAGCTAATTTGTAACTGCTCAGATAATTGACATAAAATACTTTTAATTATGAAAATGAGAGGCATTTGTGAAGTCTTTAAATTCTGGTTCATATAATCCTCTCTCTCTCTAGCTTCTTTTCCCTTACCAGGAAATCATCTGGCTCTTCCTGTCTTGTGCTGTCATGTCACATTGGTTTAGAACCAACAATATGAGACAGCCCAGTCAAACATAAAAGAATGGAATGCATGAAACCTAAATTTTATTTTAATGTGGGTTTGGGGATACACATTTCAATTCACAACGTCAAAACCGAATAATCAAGAGATAAATACAAATTAAAACTCTATACATGAATAAATGTCACTATTTTTCTGTATCAGATTTGCAAATGAAGAAAATACTCCTTACCCTAAAAGTATGATAATAACACCACTGCACATTATGGGCTATAATAAAAACCTCAATTCTGAGAACTGTAACAAACTTGGTGATAATACTTCTTTTTTGGTTAAATACCCTCCTGTTTAATACAGTTCAGTTAATGGCTAGAAACTAGGTCAATATTATTATTGAATAAGATCTTTTCACTTGTTCTAATGCCCTAATTGTATTTCAGTTATTTAATGAGGAAGTTTTGTTTAATTTATATCATCTCAAAACTAGAGCAGGAATGCTCATTTCTATTTTAAAGTCACTCCTTTCTGTCCGTAAGGAAAATAACCATTAACTTTTTTTTTTTTTAAACTTGCATTTCAGCGACAATATGCAAAATGCATACTGGGAACTGAAGAGAGAGATGTCTAATTTACATTTGGTGACTCAAGTACAAGCTGAACTACTAAGAAAACTGAAAACCCCAACTACAGTCAAGAAAGGCAAGTTAATGTTTGCTGGAAACCACTGATTCCAGCCAAACAGCTTGAAGAGCAACTGGCTATCGTTTCTTATCGAAATCTCATCAGATGATTTTGATAAGCCAGAGTATATATAGTATGTTCACAGCCTACCTATTCTCTGCTTTGGCTTCATTCTCATACTGGTCAACTTCACACATAAAGGTGTTGCTGATGTGTTTTTTCTTCTGTACTGTATTCTTTTCCCCTTGTGGCTTTTTTTCTCAGCCAAGTGTTGCTTATGTGTATAAGGCTGAGGTGTTAAGTTTGCTCTAGTTGACCTTTTACCACAACTCCTCCTTATATTTAAAAAAAAAGACATCAAGACATCAAAAGCTATTTTTCATTCCAGTGCCACAGAATATATCAAAGACCTAGCCCTTTAAATTAGTTTTGAAAAAAATAACTTTGATGCATAATTTGTTTTCATTTGGTAAACTTAATTTTTCTTCCCATAAAGGATAGACCGTTTAGAATGGAAACTGTGATCCCACTATCTCTTTCAATGAAACAAAAAATTTTCATTGATTTGCTTTTCATATTAACTGCTTGGCTGACTAAACTTTTGAGTTTTGGGCCTAACCTAGTAGTTAGTGGCTACTTTACAAAAGCTCTTTGCATATCTCAGAGAAAAATCAGTGCATGTGTGCCTTTTATTACATAATAGTTTTATTTCTGAAAAGCTGTATAATGTAAATTTGCCCAAAAGTTTATTTTGAAGGAATTGAGATGTGACTTTTCGTAAAAAAAAAAATAATCACCAGCACCTAAAGTTATATGCACCTTGGACTGGCCCTAAAGAGGGCACAAGAGAAATGTATTTTATAAATCTCCTCAGGAGTGTTAACTAGTAGGGAAAAAGGAAAACTAAAGTCAAAATCCCTTTTAGTTTCTAGAGAGTTATTTATGAATCAGGCAAATTAATATCGTGCTCTGCCAGGCTCCAACTTAATTTATGGTTCATTTTACCCTGGAGTTTTCCAATGGCCAGGGTTACCTGTGAGGCAACTGTGTGTTGATTGGTAGAGGTAAAATTTCTCTTAAAAGGAACACAGAATAATTTTACAGGGAGTTTTCAGTGAGGCTGTTTATATAACAAATATAGTCTCCAAAGGATAAGAAAGGAAAAATGCTCTTTCCACATTTGGAAATGGCTCATTCTTGCGTCCCTTCTGAGCTGGTGAAGGATAAATCTTGTGGTGTATCGAACTGAAAGTTCTCTGGCAGGCTCTTCACTGCAGAACTCCGTGCTTTGGTGAGTAGAGACAGACTAGATCATCTTTTTTCCTGACCTCCATATCACCCTTGTCCAGAAGTTGAGCACTGTTACTTCTAGGTCTTCTCCACTCCTTCCCCTCTTCCCAAGAAAAAAGGCAATGAGCTCATTTTATAATATGGTTCAGTTTCTTCTAAAATGATAGATTCAAGCCCGAGTTATAATTCTTAGCATTTTGCCCTAGTAGGTTGAATTGGAAGGGGAGGAAAACCTTAGACTACCATTATGTTGGCTAAGACTAGCTAAATAATCGCTTCAGTTTATTTTCTAAGCCATTACGTGTGTACTAAACTCATTTTTTCTCTTGACTTATTACTGTGACCACAGCAGAAATGTGTGTTTATAAGAAACAGAATTATTTTATAAATTCTATTCAAACTGTTTTATCCTTAAGAGCCTTTGAATGTATATTAAATAACTTACTTTGGGCCTCACCAATTCAAAATATAATCATTGCAGAAGAAATTTATTTTGAAGCACCTATGGAAAAAAGATTTGAATAAGCAAAGGAATATTCTATTTAAGAACAGCTTTCTTGGTTTCCATGGACACTTAAACAGTAGGCAGGCTTTCTCTAGTCACAATACAATTCTTCACCTTTATTAATGGTCCTATGATATAGGCAGGACAAGAATACCATGTCCATTTTGCAGAGGAGAGAAGTGACACTTGGAAGCACAAAAAGTGGCTGAACCTAAAGTCACAGTGTCAGTAAATAAGTGATCCAGGATTAGAACTCGATCATTTGTCATCTGTCTCAAATCATAGTGCCCCAGTGATCATGTTAACTTGGAAATATTATTTCCAGTTCTAGATTCAGCCAAATTAGGATCACAAATGCCTTGACAACTGACCTTTAGCCTGTGCTTTCTTTTTAGCCTGTGCCCCAATAGGATGCATGGAAGACCTTGGGAAAGACAGCACAAAACTGCACTTGGCGAATTTTACTGCAACATACAAAAGACATTCCCCCCTGTCACCAAATGGCAAAACTCTTTGCCACACCACATCTTCCCCTTTATCAGGAGATATGAAGGTTTTATCAGAGAAAGCAATTCTCCAATCATGGACAGATAATGAGCGATCCATTCTTCATGATGGTACTAACTTTCAGGAACACAACTCTTACGGCAGAAATTCTCTGGAAGATAATTCTTGGGTATTCCCAAGCCCTCCTAAATCAAGTGAGACAGCATTTGGGGAAACTAAAAATAAAACTTTGCCTTTATCCAACCTGCCACCACTGCATTACTTGGATCAACATAATCAAAACTGCCTTTTTAAGAATTAATTCTGAAGAGATTTCAGGATTTGGTCATGAGGTTACTGTTATCTCCTTCAGTGGCTCTCAAGAAATTACCTAACTGAAAGCAGATTTTGAATAAACTTTTGCAGAGTTCTTCAGTATATACATTTGCACATACTGTTCTCCACATCATGTATCAATTTTCCGGTATGAAAGAGCACCCTCCAGCTCCATGTTCTAAGAATCAGATGTAAGCTTCTAATTAATAAACTTAAGGTGTTTCAAAGAAACGATTCTACCTTTGATAGTAATTGTAAATAACTGCTTCTCATGTAAAGGATGGAATTAAAATTTTTTAGGACATGGTTTTATATAGCATGTGAAATGCCTAAATATCTGTTCATAAAAATAAGAGGCCATGAATATGTGAGAAAAATTGTAAGTTGCTTTAATTTGCATAAAAGACAAATGGCAAAGTGAATAGGTTCTATTTGTAGTGACCTTAAAGATGAAAATTATAGTTGAATAATATAGGTTATTCCATCTGCATATGCTATTGTGTTTCAAAGTTTAAGACTCAGTAACATTGTGATTAAAAAATGGTTTCAAGACTTGAAATAACCTGCTCATTGAAACCAACTTTGTCCCATACATCCTTCAAATCCTAACTGAAAAAAGTGATGAAATAGTTGAAAACCTATGTGGTGTGTGAACTATTTTAATACCTCATTATCCAATTAGAAGTAGAGCATCACACAGGTTGCAGTCTAATCTGTGCCTTCAGTGGTCCATAATAAAAAGCTAAATATGTAACTGGATAAAGTCATTTTCTTCAAAGGGTCTATACCTGCTTGTTATGTACAGCGACTTATAAATTGTTAGACTTTGTTTTGAAATGTAAGAGTGACTTTTGATTAACCACATTAAGAATTTTAGTTCTGTAAACCAAATTCTGTGCTGTATTGATATAATCTGATCATGGAATGTCCCCAAACTTTTTGATTCTAAGTGGCCTATCATTTATCAACAAAGATATAACAAGGATGGCTTCACGTGGAAATCTAAATTCTTTCAGGGTGGTGGTATTAACATTGTAATATAATGTATTAGTTGGCTTATACATCTTTTGCCTCAGATAAACTGTTTCATGTAGGAGACCTTTATCCTTTTTGATAGACAGTTTCAAATATCTTGAACTCAAAAGAATATCTCAGATCTCTTCTATATTAACTGAATAGCATACATACATAAACAGTGTTCACTGGTCACAGATATTTTTGTCTTTCTATTATCTTACTCACTTATTCAGGCTTGTCTGTGATTAATGGAATTGGTGTCAGATGCTGGAATTTATTCTGACCAATGAACACAGCTGACTCCAGGGAGTACAATCTCCTGCCAAGTAATAGAACAAAACCCAATATGCATAAAACAAATACAAGACTCCAGGCTTTAGCTAAAGGAAGCAACTACCTGTGTAATAACAAAGCAGCAGAAACTATTTCTCATGTGGCTGCATAGGCTGTATATTATATCTCATCTCTAATGTAGCTTACTGGTTTGCCTTTTGTAAAACCAAGGTTGGAAACTTTCCTTTGTAAAGAAGTCGTATGAGATAATGGCTTGATTAATGTTTTGAATAATGCCAAGAAATTGTTTAATTAAAATAAATTATTTTTTGGGGCGCCTGGGTGGCGCAGTCGGTTAAGCGTCCGACTTCAGCCAGGTCATGATCTCGCGGTCCGTGAGTTCGAGCCCCGCGTCGGGCTCTGGGCTCATGGCTCAGAGCCTGGAGCCTGTTTCCGATTCTGTGTCTCCCTCTCTCTCTGCCCCTCCCCCGTTCATGCTCTGTCTCTCTCTGTCCCAAAAATAAACGTTGAAAAAAAAACATTTTAAAAATAAAATAAAATAAAATAAAATAAATAAAATAAATTATTTTTGTTTGAAATTGAAGTGAACGTGAAATATTGTCCTTGCCTATATATTCCAGGGTCAGGTACTAATTATCAGTTGTTAATTTGATTCACGTTACAGGCATTTATCTTGTTAAACCAACTTCTTTTGAGTGGAAAAAATGTTCTTCCATCTGAACAACAGGGTAGCTGTCAAACAGGTATGCCAGAAATCCGAGGTTGATGTTCTTTACAGTTTAAAGTGCTAAATAAATGATGGGTAAGACTTGAACCAAAAAATTTACCCAGCCATAAATTTTAAAACATACACTTTATGATCATCTCCGTTCTATGGAAGATTCAAAGAGAAATGAGAAGGGCCCATCTGTAGTTTATTATCTACTTAAGATGGAAAATTTTATGTCGACTTCTTTCATACCACTTGAAACTTGCTCCAAAGGGCTTCCCTCGAAAATTTCCTTGATCTTCATATTTTTATGATAACTCAGTTTACATTTACATAGAATGAAGACAGGTAGCAACAAAAAGACACTTACTCCCTCCTCTTCATCTCCTATGAGCAAAAATAAAATTTGTATCTTCTCTAATAGGAAACTGAGGTTCTGCCAAAATGGAACCTAATTCCTACATAGAGCAGGGACATACCTATGGGGAAAATGAGAAAACCAAGTAAGTAGGGAAGAGTTCAAACTTCAAAAACTAAGACTGAATTGTAGGAAAACCGTAATGATCTAATCCAGAAAGGACTTGGGTCAAGGTGGATATTCAGGGGAAGAACATCTGTGCGTTCTTAACAATAATACCAGCCAGCGATACGAATGAGCAATAAGAACAACTGAGGCAGCTGTACTCGTGGGCGAAGTAGACCAGTGTGCTGGCTAGGTCTGGATATTCTGAAAGCTGTAATCAATGGTACAGTTCCTGATAGGGAGGAACATATTTATATAACCTACTGTCCAGCGCCTATGGGGAAAGTGACATCTACATAAATGAATTTCCCACATAAAATTGAAGGTGGTTTCTCTGATTCTCATCCAAATTATAAATTAGCCACAGGTTATATATTTCACTAGCTTCCTAAAGTAACTATTTGTTTTTTCTTCATTTGCATCATTTAAAACCAAGAATTAAGGTCCTGTGCTCTAGCAAATGTACAATACCAAAAGACCAACAGAAGCATATAGGCTTGTTTACCCCTATGATTTGTGATCTCTAGGTTTCTATATTTGCTTTGCTTTGGTCTGTTCTAGTAATCTTCCTTTTGATCTGTGGCCTGGGAAAATGTGGTTTCTTTGGGTTTCAAATAAGAGTAAAATAGTTCTTTGAGCGATTGTCTTGAGTAAAGTATAGAATTTGAACATTGGTTCTTCAGGGTCCTATCTGCTTAAAACTAAGTCCTTTAAAAAAAATCTCAGCTCTATTTCATGGGACTGGGGCCAAAGTTAAATCTTGTCCTAGTAGGTAGTACTTTCTATTTGTGATTTTAATGAGAACTATGTAAGTATATATAAATTTTACTTACTTGGAAACTGGTTGCAGTGGCTACAGTGAACGGAGTTCATGGAAGAAAAAAGAGCAACTTTTAATATAAAAGTTCAACCTGGGACCAAATTACTGCACTCAGACAGTTGTTTTAGACTAGCTCCTGAAATCATTAAACTATTTTCAGTAGCCAAACAGGTCAAGGATAATAATTCAATTTTAGGAAATTTTCCATCAAATATTAAGTAAAATTCATTCATGTATAAGTACTTCTTCATCTATGTTTCCAAATAATCCTTTACTACTACTACTAACAATAACCCTGGCACTGTCCTGCATACTCTACTTACCTTCAGTAACCCTCACAATGAGAATTACTTCCCTGGTTGAATAACTAGTAAGTGACATAACCAGGAAGGATTCTGGTTCGTAACTATTCTGCTATACCACCTCGTTATTAACACCTTTGACAGCTCCTGCTTTCCTTTGGTTACTTCTGGTCTCTGTGATTAGCCACTGGAAGGGAGTAGTATCAAGTCTATATAGAACCCTAAAAATCACTGTTAGATTATCACTGTTAGATAACTGTAATAGTGGAAAAACTTACAAAAAAATCCATAATGACCAGGCAGACCATATCCCAGTTCATTATTTACTCCTCCCATCCCATTTGATAAATTTAACTTTGAAATTAAAAAAAAAATCTTTATTTCAGATAATATTTCCATCATTTAGGATAAAGCAAACACTTCCTTGAGTCCATTATTTCAGGTGATGATGATTTCCATGAATATCAGAGCTCTTGAGTATCGCTGAATATTTGCCTACATGCTTGTGGGAAGCTTCTGTAGCCTTTTCTTGGTAGGAATTCCAGTTTTTCTGAATTCTTCCCTTTCCTTCAGGTATTCCATTTTGCATTCTTCATAAAAGGCTGGATCATTATAACTAAAAGAAGGAAATGAGTGTCTCCTTTTAAAATGAGGTTTCGCAAGCATTTAATGTGAGCTTACTTTAAATAATATTCAGACATTTCATCAGGTATAATCTTTAGGAATAGATTTTAAGAAATGGTCATAAATACAGTGTAAACATTAGGTTATCAAACTAGTTCATTTTTGAAAGGCACCGTCCCGGGACAGAGCAATGAGAAGCACAGTACCCATCCTCAGAAGGCCATGGTGTTCGGAGCACATGAGTAAAGGCTGTGCAACAAGCATACAAAGTGCTGTGCCAGAGCGCAAAGGTGAGGAAAACCTGATGCACGAAGAACTGCAAGTAAATTAGTGTCCTTGCGGCAGATCACGCACATAAGAGAAAGGGCCTGGGATGAAGCCAGACTGGGCAAAGGCTGCATCACGAAGGTCATTTTATGCCATACCAAGAAGTTGAAGTCTATCCTGAAGGCAATGGGCCACTATTAACAGAAGAACTTGAAGATCAGTTTTGTGTCTTAGATCACTCTGACAGCATGTGACAGGCCAAAAGGGGGCAGCAAGGTTAGAGGCAGGATGCCTGTAAGGTAAGTAAACTATTCAACAAATCTAGCCAAGGATGATGAGGGAGGGCCCTAAGCTAAAGGAGGAGCAGTTGTGATGAAAAGGACAAAATGGATCTGGGGGAGATTTAGGAAATAAAATCAACAGGAAATAACCATTTAGAGTTAGGAGACAAGGAAAATTCTAAACTCTAGACACACGATGTAGAAGGAAAAGGAGGTGAGTTCAGTTTTGGACCTGAAGAAAGTAGCAAAGAAATGTCATGACCTAAGGAAGTAACCAAAGTCATGGGTCCAAACAGCTTTTGCAGACCTAAGCATGAGAAGAGAACCGGGAGCCCACTTTCTAAAGGATTCAGTTCAAGAAGATAAGGATGAGAAGAAGTAAGAGATGTTGGGGGAACAGTAAAGAGCATAAGAGAAGCCAGGTAGAAGAGAATCTTAAGGGGCTTCTGGAGAGGGAGGTCAAGTGAAAGAAAAAGGACTGAAACGCTATTCACTGGATCTGGCTACCATGAATCCACTAGAACCTTTAGGAGAAGCAGTCTCAGTGGAAGGGGGCAGAAGTCAGACAGCAGTTTACTGAAGAATGAATGAAGACGCGGGTAGAAATAA